ACAATATCTGGATGAGTATTGGTTAGGTAAATTAAACGACCAACCAAGTGTTTATAGGGAAAAGGATCATCAAGAGCATTCAAATCTTGATGAAGACGTAATAAAGGATCCATGGGTGTAGAATACAAACTTAGAACTAGGAAGAGCAGCATCCAAGATTAAGTCAAAGCAGTATTTCCGCTAACAGAGATAAATATTAGAAGAAGAGTGAGTAATCTCTAATAAAAAAAAATTCATGAATTTGCCTTGATCTCGTATATGAAAGTGAGAACGCAATGAAGTTTTGAGGTGAACAATTTCAGCAAGTAAATTTCTAGCCAGAACAATATCATCAATATAATTGATTAAAGCTGTGAATGAAGAACCTATTGCCTTTGTAAATAAATTGTGATCAGCATTGGCTTGCGTATATCCAAATGAGAGTAACAAAATAAAATTTTTGGCAAATCATTAATAAGAAAAATTAAGAGAGTCGTGAATAGGACAAGATGCTTTTGAAGAAGATTGGTAGGAGGGTGTTGAAGCAAATATGACATCACTAGCACATATGTGACACTCATAGTCAACAAGGTAAGAAGGACAGAAATGAGGGCGATGGAAATGACGGAGAAGTTGGGTTGGTGGGAAGGACTGAGAATTGACTTGAGTAGGTGAAGAAGATAGTTGAGGAGGGGAAAGGCATGAAGGAGATGACGGTGGACAATGTGTAGGAAATGTTAGAGAGGAGGGAGTGGACTAGGTAGACATGGACTCAATATTATTGGACTGAAAGTTGAGGTTGACAGAATTAAAATAAGGGGTGTCAAGAGAATTGGGTTGAGGAAAGGAAGAAATAACAAGTTATGTATTAATGTGTTGCGAGTATAATTAATTTTTGTAAAAGGAAAGACTTTTTCATTTAACAAAATTTGAGAGACAAAAATCTCTCTATTATTTAAATCAAGGATGAGACATCCTTTGGTTCCTATTTTATATCCTAAGAAAATACCATGTTTTGCACAAATATCAAATTTTTGATGAGAAAGATTTGTTGAAACCTAGTTCACACAACCAAAAACCTTTACAATGAAAAAATTCGAATTGTGTTTGTGTAATAATTCAGAAGGAGTTTTATTGTCAATGAGAGGGGATGAAGTGCGGTTTATTCAATAAATAATGTGTTTAATAGCATATGACCAACAATGTTTTGGAAGTTGAAATTGAAATATAAAAGGTCTAACAACATTAATAATGTGTTGATATTTTCTTTCAACTCTACCATTTTGCTAAGAAGTATAAACATAAACTGTTTGATAAAAAATTCCTTTAGATGCAATTTTTTTTTTTTAAGAAATCCAATCTCAGCGTATGCATTTAATGGAAAGATTGAATTAGTTTTAATTAAAACTTTTTTTGAATGTGTGTGCGAACATCTCCTTTAGTTTTGAGAAGAAGCATCCATGTATAAAGATTAAAATCATTTACGATAGTTAAAAAATATTTGTGACCATGAATCAAAGATTGAGAAAAAGAACCTTAAATATACATATGAACCAAATAAAATTGTTTGAAGCTTTATTATCACTTGGAGAATATGATAATTTCTTTTGTTTATGTAGGTGACAAATATCACAATTCTTATCAACATGTTAGGAAATAAAAAGAAAATTAGTATGAAGATTGTTAAGGCAATTTCCAAAGAGATGACCAAATCTATAAGTTCCAAAGGTTAGAGTTGGTGATAGGTGAAGTGGAGAAATTATTGATGAAGGTGGCTTTGGGAAAAGAATGTCTATAGTTGGTTTGTATCTCCAAATTATATAATCCATGCTTCAACTTAATCAAATTAATCATTATCACGACTTCTTTTCCTGCATTTGACATTAAAAATTAGAAAAATTAAGTATGTAATTAGAAGAAGTCAAGAGTTTAGAAATTGAAAGCAAATTGAATTTGAAATTAGGTACATAAAGAACATCACAAATGATGAGTTAGAATGTCTGAAATATGAACAATAACTATAAAACCATTAGGTAGGTTAATATGTATGAGTGTAATTTTAGAAAATTTAGGAAATTATCAAAAGAACAAGTGTTGTGATCAGTGACCCTGAATCAATAATCTAATAAGTATTGTTTAATGGGTGTGATGTGTGTGTAGTTGTTAATTGATTAAGACACATATTATTGGGATCGGAAGTGCCAACGCTGGACATTTGGGTAAGATTGATGTGTTTGGGCTAAGAAGAGGCTACTAGATTATTGTTGAAGAAGTCCAAGAAGACTATGATATTGAGTATTAATGAAATCATAACCTAGCCCGTTAGAGAGAGAACTCAAAGTCATTGAGGAGTGTGAATCCTCTTACTATAACAATAGTAAAATGAGAAGAACCAACTTTATTGTGGAAGCGCTCCATCTCACACGGATGACCAACTTTATTAAAAATTTGAATTATAAAGTAAATATCATGAGTGCATGAATGAACCAATAATAGATTAGAAGTTTTAAATTTTTAATTATAATTTCTTGTATTAGACTTTGTATTTATTTATATATTTGTTTAAAAAATTATTAGATATTAATTTTTATTAGAATTCAGTTAACTGTATATGAGTCCAACTAGAGTATAAACCTTAAATCTTAACTATATAATACAAAATGTTGAGAGTTTAATAATGAGTTGAAATCTTTCATAGTAAGAAAATTGAGTAATTATAAATAAGAAACATTTATAACCTAATGTCTTAATATTTTTTAATTGAAAATGATATTTATGTGATAATCGATTGAAGTAGATGATAAATTCTAAATTAAAAAGCTTTAGATTGTTGATCTTTATGTCAAAATTCTAATAAGATTAATTTTGTTTTATTATTAAAAATCTCTTTGTGGAAATCAATCTCCAAAATGTCCATTATTCATTATTTTTGCTCACAGAGTTGAATAATTTCTTATTCTTGTACTTAAATTTTCAATTTAAAGTGTGAAATTTTTTTAACTAATCAATTTAGAATACATCAATCTTAAGTTATTATTATAAATTGTTACATATTCAACTTATTAATTGCTATACATATAGTAAACCATAATATTGATTGATTATTTTTTTTATACAATTAAGAAAAATAATAGACATTGTCCCCAAGTTTCGTCGACCAGCCTTGTTTGTGTGTTTTCTTTTACTGTGTTAATCTGGTCTAACCCATAACACTAATACAGGATGGCCGTGGTGCCGAAACACGAGAGTTTTTTTGGTTCATTAGGTTTCGTTGCAAACATATAGCTAACGTTAAATCATGCAAATAATTAATCCAAACGAGAGTTTATTTAAATAAAATGAAAGTAAATGAATGTAGTGGCATGTCAATTGTACGATCACTGAGGCTGGTGCAGAAGAGAATTATAATCTCTGCCATGATTGCACAACATTTTGAAGAAAAAGGTCGTATATACAGTTACTTTTGGTGCTGAATAACACATTGGTCAGAAGCATGGGAATAGTCAATCAGCCTGACCATTCAAGAATCATGGCCTATTGCTTATTCGAGCCTTCAAATTGGCAGTGAAAGCATGCAACAGATAAATGATGAAGCCCACATCTCACGACCAACCCATCAAGACTTTACTACATAACTTCCTACACAAACCAGTTACAGACGACTCAAAAGCTATGCACAAAATCTAGTTACCACATTTCCCAATACTATAGTGGATTTGGTAATGTTAGGCTTTGGCGTGTATAGCATAACGACAAAAAGCTTCAATGAATAGTAGTCTAATTAATAGCTTCACCAAAGCCCTACATTTACATGTGTTGATCAAATAGGAGGCATCTCTTCAGCTTTGTACAGTATCACAGACTAAAGTCTTTCGTTTGAATAACCTAATACCCTTTGGGACTCAGATAAAGTTATTCACATACACGATGACACATGTTAAATTGTGTTTATCACTTGTATTATAGCTAGTTTAGATAACTTTCTTAGTATACACTATATGAAAAAGAATATATAAAATAGTAAGTAATCTGAATCAAAATTTTAACACAAACTAGCTGAGCCACAATGAGTTTATGAGATATATGTATTAATATAAATGTTCCTCCTTCACATGCATAGATTCGTCTCCTGCAGAAGGTTTGAGAATAAAGATTATACTCAAAATTTAATATTTTCATACATAGGACTTGACAAGAAATTTTACTTTACCTTCTTGCTTCGATGAATTACTTTGTCAAAGCAAAAGTATATTTCGTCCAAAACAAAAGATACTAACTGACAAAGAGAACTGTTACAGAGGATAGCACATATTAGCCATGTATTCCGTTGGAAAATTACTTTTCAACGTCAAAGTTTAACAACAAAAAGTTTTTTCGTGCTGTATTTTTTTTTTATATATATGCATGAAAATAAAGGTAAAACTTTTCCGAAATGAGTATGATGTCAATTCATTAACATGCCAGTGAAACTACATTCACGTAGCTCTGTTGACCAGTGCTGGCACAACGCAAAAGACAAGTTGAAGATCATGACTCTTTCTCTCAGTCGGTGTTTATTTTCTCTCACTACAAAAGTACGCGTCCAAGAAATGACATCCTCTTTAACCACTCTCAGACGATTTTCTTGAATTGTTTTTCCGCTTTCCATATAATGCCATTTGTTACACGCAACAGATCTCTTCTTCCATCATCCCGAATTTTCTTTTTCAACAAGTTTTAGCTTCAACCATTACAAAGGAATAAAGAGACATGTTTCCATTTTTTATAAAAAATGAGGAAAGAAAGTGATTCTTTTCTATATAAGACTTTGTTTTTTGTATACAGTTTTCAAACAACTACGGAGGGATAACAACTGATATAAAAAATTAACAATGTCAAATAGTAAACGCTTTCCTGAATCCCAAATAAAAAACAAATGAACAAATAAAAAGGTCATAAAATCAACTTAACTTAATCAAATTAAATTAATGTCGTAAAAAAATTGAAAGGGGTCAGCAAATTCCTTATTGGAATTGCTGATTTTATTGCTTTGCGTTGCTGGTGTTGCCATTGCTGGTGCTGGCTGTCATGTTGCCATTATTGTTAGTATTGTTACTGTTGTTGCGTTGCTGAGCACCATCAATAATGGAAGTGATAGCTGCTGCCAGAGCTGCAGTGAAGTTTGGATCAGCAGCAATGGCAGCACTAACTGTGTCAGTAACGTGTGATGGTAACTGCTGAGAGTTGTTACCAAATTGTGAAGGGTCTGCATCATGTGACGTTTGAAGACCAGAAAACTTTGATTGGTTGTAGAGTGCTTGTCCAAATATCTGAGGCATGAAAGAGGCTGGGGAGTTTGCAAAATTCTGAGGGACACCTTGGAGGGGAATTTGTAACTGGTTTGGGTGCCTTGGGAACTGTAGAGGGTTTGGAGATTGTGTTAGGTCCAATGTAACAGTTGGGAATGGAGCAGATGCCGAGATAGTAGCCATGCTTGAAGAGCAAGGGAGGAGTGTCCTTGCAAGGAAGTTTGCATTCATTAGGCCGTCAGCACTAGACATTGACCCAGAAAGAAGCATTTTTGCTGCTGAGGAAGTGGTTTGTGCCATTGCCACAGCTGCTGGAGGCAAAGGGTGGTTGTGATTGCCTTCATAGGTTGTGACGAGGATTGTTCGGTCTTCAGCACACCTTTGTACCTGTTTATTATTAAAAGTACCAAATATTGGATCAGAGAAACCACTTGATTTTAAACCTACCATGTTGAGCAACAAAACTGAGCCTTGAAATGAACATATATTCTTCAATTTAATAGAACTATTTTGTACTCTTATCCAACTTCAATAAACGAACCTCAATTATTATAACTAGTATTACAGATTTGTGTATGCAAACCTGTTGTGCAATTAGTAGAGTTAAAATTTTCATAACTGCTGTTGAGATTTTTTTGAAAATGTTTTAAAAAACTATTGACAAATATACATGTAGTCACAATTGAATTTGCGATAACCTCAAAAAACGTTGAACCTTTTATAAAAACTTGGAGTCATTAAATAAAGATAATGACTATTAATATTATTTTTGAATCAATTTTGAGTTTTTCACTCCCTAATTTACCACCTATCTTACATCTCTTCTTAACCTTCTCTTTATTTAATATTCACCACCATATCTATCATTCTTTCTCTCTCTAGTTCCTACTACGGTGTATTCACCTCAAGAATTGCGAAAACATCAATTTTGTTTTAAAACAGGAATCAAGCTTTGTAGGGGACATCGATATGTACCTGTTTTCTAACTGGGCAAGCAGTAGCCATGGTACACCTATAATAAGCTCTAGGACATGGGTTTCCTTTGGCCATCTTCTGCCCATACTTTCTCCATTGACACCCATCAGTGATCTGAGACAATTTAAAACTTTTTTATCAGCTAATGAACAAAAATTTATCATGAACAATTTTCTAAAATTGAAGAGCATGCACTCCTACTTACCATGGGTGCTTCTGATCGAGCTCTAACAGAAACTCTTGCCTTCCTCATGGTTGCCTCAGCCTGATCAACATTATTCTTTGAAGGACTCAACCTTGGAACTTTATCACCAGCATGAGCATGACCACCTGAGGGATTATCCTCTCCATCATCCCCTTCATCATTAACATTCCCATTCTTACTGGTCCCTACTTCCTTGGAAGCCACTTCTGCGCTAGGTGATGCTGATCGATCTTGACTTCTTCCCCCTGATGAAGACGAGGGTTCATCAGTGTCAGCATTAGTAGCCAATCCAAGATCCATGAACTGTCTTGGCACCAATACCCCAGCACTCTCACCCTTATTCCCTTCTAACTTTCCACCAAGCACTTCTTGTTCTTCAACTTCCGCGGCCTTCTGCTGCTGCATCAAACTCATAAAATGCATATGAAGTGCATTGTAATTGGCGTTAATCTGATCAAGCGAGTCCCTCAACGTTTGATTCTCCCTCTTCATTCTCTCGAGCTCAGCTTGAACAACAGCAAGCTAATGGAAAACGCTCAATTTTAGAAGACCCTCCAAAATAAAAACAAATGAAAAAGAGAAGCACCCCATGGCATGTGATCTCATTAAATTAAACTAGATATTATACATATCTATCGATCTTTACCTCATCCTTAGCTCTTTTGTCTTCTGAATTGGGTGATGTCTCATCATCCACCATAGATTGATCACTGCTAGTGTTGGTAGTAAGAAGATTCAGACCAGTCTATAAAAACAAATTACAGATTCATGAGCACACCAACAAAATGATCTTACAGAAAATGTTCAAAAGATTGTGCAAATTTAGAACAATCGACCATAAAATATACGGATAAAACTTAGATAAATAACTTGTTTAATATAGGTATTTTTCGGTATTCAAATTAAAATTGAAGATTCATTTCAATAATCGAGACCAAATAAAGGTTTGTATTAAATATGAACATATATTATTGATACGAAACTTCAATTCTGATAGAAAAACAAAACTAGAAACAGCTAAGAAAGTTTGTGCGAGTATGTTTCTCCATAAAATATGATGATGGGTGAGTCACTCACGTTTACTTCGAATTCCAACGTAGGTAGAGTGGCGGAATGACGATGATCAGAGGCAGAAGTGGAACCTTTGTCCTCTTTTTTGTTGTTGTTGTTGTTGTTGTCGTCGGAGAAGAAGTCCATCTCGGTTCTGCTGTGGTGGGGTGGTGGGGAAGAGTCACGATCGTTTGGAGAACAGCTAAAGTTGACTTGGAAGGGGATGGTGTATTTGGCTCTAGCAATGGAGTCCATGTTGTTGTGGGGACTATGTTTCCACTTTGGGTGGTTTGTATCCTCAGGGAAAGAGTTTAGAACAATAGGCTTGTGCAGGAAGAAGCTCCCAATTGGATCTGAATCCATGGAGAGTCCACCACTTCTAACCATAAATTCCAAGAGAGAGAAAGAGACAGAGAGAATAAGACTGAAGAGAGAGAAGTGTGTGAAGTTTTTATAAACGTGGCAATGATCTCGGCAATAAAACGGGACAGCTGAGACTTGAGAAGATGACCAGAGCTCTACTTCTCTCGCTCACCTTTGAATAACTTTCAAATATTATTATTACATTTCAGTTTTGCATTTTGTCAATGTTAATCATAAAAATATATGTTCCCAGTTATGATTTTTATGAATATTTATGTAATGTTTTCATTAATATTTTTATGTTTTGAATTCAACGAAGGATGAATGATGCATATAAGCACGAAACTTAATTATTACCACAAAGACATATTTAACAAGCAAGATTGTATATAGTAAGAATTAAAAATTGTTTAAGTTTTGCACCCTTTATCATTATTTATTAATACAATATGAATATAATTTATTAAATTATTTAAATAATATATTTCATATTAATTATTTGTATCTAACTCTTTAACTATTGTTTACTGGTGTTGAAAGAGAGTCTTATGAATGTTTAAATTAATTTGATTTTAAGAAATGCGAGAAAATCTATGTCTAATAATGTTTGAATTGCATAAGATAGAAGAGTCGTAAATAAGGGTTTGAAAATGCAGATAATATTAATTTTCCAAGCCTAAGAAAATAGGGTAGATTGTTCACCCTTAATTATAGTGTAAATTCTTTATAAAAAGTCATATACTAAATTTAATACCAACAAGGAAAGAAAAGAAATTTTGGAAACGTAATAGTTGGAAATGTTGTGGTTTTGTTTGAGTGATTTTGATGTTGTGTTGTTCATATTTGGTGTGGATGAGGCAAAGGATTAGGAGGAGGAGATTGACGCGTTCGTTCCGGAAAATCACCGCCCCTGTTGGGGCGGCGCATGAGGCTCGTGAAAAGTGAAGTCTGAGTCAACTGCTGCAATGCAATCTGATGTCCTCCATTGCATTCTATTTCTATCCTTCTAATCTTGACTTTGACACACACATGACATGATGCCCATAAACTTTCACACCACACAAATTAACCAACCAATTTCCAAATCACTCTTCCATTTTCAACACTCACATGCATGGATGTTAAGTCCACCTCAAAATTGGAGAAATAATCACCACATCCCACTCAGGAAAATTTTGTTTTTAGGTTAAACTTTAACCTATCGCTTTTATTAAACTATTATGAGTCCAGTTTAATTTTAATAAAATATGATATTTTCTCATTATATTATTAAATAGTTTGATCTTTTGTAACACACAATTTTGTGGTAATTATTTTATTTATATGATTAGAGATTAAGGATATTTAAGAGAATTTTTAATAAAAAAATTTAAAAATAAAAATGAATATTTTATTATAATTTTCATAGATGAATTACATAAAAATTGATTAGAATTTTATATAAACAATTTTATTTTAATTTTAAATAACTTTATTTAATTTTAAATTATCATTTAAAAGATTAAATTGTAATATTAAAATTGATGATTTATGTGATAACTGATAATTTAAAAATAATTTTATATCGAAAGTTTTTCTAAGAATGAATGAACAAAATATCTTGATAAACAATGGTATATGAATTAAAAGAAATATTATTAAAAAAATATAAGTCCCACACGTTAAATAAAAAAAATAAAAAGTCCAACAACATATAAAAAAACTCATAATTCAATATTTTAATACTTTAGGCTGAAGTAAATTCTTATAAACTAGGTTTATGTATCATTCACCTTATCTCATTTAATTTTAAAAATCATTTACTTTTGAATTCCCATTAAAAATATCCTAACTTTTAATGACTTAATCTCAATTATTGAAAAATGGTTCATACTTTGAAATTGAAACCACATGTACATTAAAAAAAACGTTATATAAAGAGTTATGTGAAAAATTTGAAATTTGAAGTCATAGTAAAAGACACTATGATTACAAGAAGAAAATACACAAAAAGATATGTCATTAAACTCAATTTCTAAACATCATTATATATTAAAAAGAATAAAATAAACTATATGGGATTATTATAAAAAAAAGTATTAAAAATATGCTGACCATAAAAATTCTACCTGTGTGTGAGAAAAAGTTGATAAAAGCATCTGCTTTAGTAATAAAGCAGATACATGTAATAATAACAGTACTGTTAATGTAAAAGATTAATGAATAATATAAATTTTGAGATAATTAAAAAGTTATACTTTGGAAAGTACACATTTTATACACGTTTGATGCATTAAATATTTTATCTTACAAAGAATACAGCAGTTATGTCAAATTTTAATTTCTTCCACTGGATTCAATTAAGAATGAACGCAACTTTTTATGACTCTTTGGGGTTATTTGAATTAGAACGAGTATGCATGTTGCAAAATCTAGGTGGATATTTGATTTGATTAGAACATGTAGGTGGGTTTTACTTCTTCGATTCTAACATCACGGAAAGAAAGTGATCAACTTCATCATAATTTCCCGACCTAACTGGAACCAACTTTTGCTTCATTTTTTCCTTCTTAGTCACTCTAATTTCTTCATATGCATGTGTTTTAGGGTTTGCCTTTTACATCTCCAACAAACTCTAGATATTGTAGAAGGAACACTTAATTATTGGAAAAAAACATAAAGCTTGATATGTACATACAATATTGAAGTGGATAAGGGAAGAGATAGAAAAAAAAAAGAGAAAAAAATTGATTCATATTATTGTTACAATTAATAGATTTAATTCATTCTTATAAACAAAATTAAAAACTGAATCAAAGAGAAAATATCAAAATTTATAATTCATATTATTAATCCAAATATTAAGAAATGCGACAAAATAGTCTTTATCATCGTAAATAAATATCAACAAATAATAAACTCATAATAGATAAGAGTGTGAATGCAATTAATGAAAAAATTGATAAGGTTTGACTACTGTGAATTTGATTTATTTTGAGATTTAATATGCAACTCTCATATACTTGGATTAATAGTGTGTTTTTACGCGCACAAGACCCAACTATTACTGAAGAATATTAAAATTTTGTGACTTCATCACTTCTTCATGGGATGAATGAAAATCTTACACAAAAATTCAGTCAAATATATATATCATAGGAAGATAGTGTTAACATCTATTGTGTTGATTTTCCTATTAAAAGTTTATTTTTACAAGAATTGACCTTAGAATTGTTGGGATCAATGTGTTTATTATTAAGAAGTTCTCACCAAAATTCGCAGCTTCGAAACATTAATCACTATATGAAGATTGAGCATAAAGATGTTCTAAAACTTTATTCATCTTCACTATATTCTACCATATTATATATTATTATTATTATTATTACTATTATTATATAATTAAAAATGATGGAATTGTCATCATTATGAATATAAAAATTGGTTGGATAGTAGCTGTTTTAGGGATTTTATATATATTGGTGTTTCCTCACGTGATCCTTTTCTTCTTATATTTGTGTGTTCACACTCACAAAACTTTCTTCTTTGTGCAATTAAAACATGGAGATAATCAAATTTGACTGCAATAATAGTTTACTCAGTTGTCAACGTCTAAAAGTTATTTAGAATAATTACTAAAAAATTAAACAAAAAAAAACTATTTTATTATAAATTTTACTTATAATTTATTTTGAAGTAGAACAAAATATTTAAATTTGAGAAAAATATTTATATTTTTTTAATTTTAAATATATAAAATTCATAATAAATAATATTTTTAGAACCCATATATTTGATTCTGTACCAAATTAAGTTACATAAAAATAAAATATACCTATAACAATAACAACAACAATAATAATAATAATAATAATAATAATAATAATAATAATAATAATAATAATAATAATAAATAAATAAATAAATAAATAAAAACAAATAAAATAAAATAAAAATGAATCAAAGTGGACCCAGATAAACCGTGAAACTATGTGAACCATCCTATTCATGTCAGAATTATCCTACAAATTAACGGGTCAGATAATTTAAATTTAAAATAAGTATTTAAAATTGTTGTTTATATATTTATTTTTTATAAAAAAATCATAAAACAAAAATGCTTGTTTTAAATAGATAGAACAGACACGCATATAAAATAGTTTAGAAATTTACCCTTTTTATTAAAAAACACACAAATTCACCAAATATTATAATGTAAGGGGTATTAAGAAATAAAATAATATTAGCAATTATATGAAAACTCAATTAAAATTCATTGAAAGATTACAAATCTTAATTAAAATTTTCTATTTTAAATTTTTTAACCTCCATAAGACAATAAGAGATAGGTTTGCATTTGTCATGAGTAAGATCAATTAAACCAAGGTTTACAAGGAAAGTGCACTATTTCTCAACTTACACAAATTACTTCAACACTTACGAGACAAGAGCTTAAAAAACATGACATCTCAGTAAAACAATTCACCAGACATTGTTTTGGACATACCTTCTCTATACTTATATTATAAATATGGCAAGAATTATAACAAAATTATACAACTCGTTTTCATTAAATTACCTAGTTGTTTTAACTACCTTTATTAATAGAGTTTTTGTAATTAGTAAGAAATATGTTTTTTCTTATCTATCTGAGTAAACTGTAAACTTTAATAACTTTTTTATTAAAATATAAATCATATATAAAGTGTTGTGTTCATATAAAGTGTTCGTGTTGTGTCCGTGTGTTGCTTCATAAGAAAAGAAATTCAAACCATCCACATTGTAACTTCGATGTCTTTTCTTCTGTCTATCTACACCACAAGTTGATGTAGCAGAAGGATTGATAAAAAATAGCTAAATTCAATTTTTTCAAAAAGGCATGTATAGAAATAGACAGACAAATATGAATGGAATCACAAATCCGATGATTTGTTGAAATATGCAAAACTTAAATCGTGCCCAAACCCACTCGATAATATTCACAGCTGTCCAAAACTCAATTTATACGCGTAAAAGCTTTAAAACTAGACCATAAAATAGAGAGAAATGACACCATGAATAATCAAAGAGCATATTTACTTCTTATAGACAAACTAGAACCGTTTCCATTATTCCCTCAAGGGGTGCATGTTTGCAATCCACCCTTAAGGTTACAAGCACCATATTTAGAGTTTATGGGGGCCATTAAGAGTTTTAGTAAACTACTACTACCAAAGATAGAATGTAGAAGTATATCATACCATTGAGGCAGTACTAACAAAATAGTTAGCCAGTTAAGTAATGTGTCACCCATGACTGGAAGCGAGACCAGGCAAGCTGAACTGCAGCTTCGTCTTCATCTGGCATTCCCATGCTCTTCCTCCTCTTGATTCCTTCAGGAGACCTGTTCATGAATGCATGTCCATTGCCAGGATATATGTGTACCTCATGAGGAACACCAGATGCCTTCAGCTTCTCCTCCAAGGCCTTGGCAGCCTGAGACATCAAACAATGTTCAAACATGATATTCCTAGTAAAAAATTTGGAGACTCATAACATCAATAAGTGTTCTCTCTCTCTTCCCTTCTCCATTTCCAAACAAATATTTTCTTGATAGAATATCAAATGAGGGTATATATATCAGAAAACCAACTTTTCTGCTAGCTCGGCCCAATCGGTGGTGACTCTCTTTTCTGTTAGCTCGTTGGGGGCTTATCCATCTTTTTTCTCTCTTCCATCGTGTATACAATGTACTTTTACTTCACTCTTTTACAGAGAATAAAAATTGTTTTCTCCTTTTTTTTCTATTTTCATTGTTCTTGCTTTTTTGCTTATGCAATTCTCTGGTTTCCACTCACGCTCGTTGCCATGCCCAATATTCAAATGGGTTGCATGAATGAGAGATTGCAAAAACAATAAGAATATAAAGTTGACTTGGTAGTAAAAGTGAAGGGGAAATGAATAAGTCCATTTGCTAACAAAAACTAACATGTCAATAATAAAAAAATTGTCGCATGATGGTACTGTGGTAGCAGTTAAATGATGATGACATATAAAACTCAGGGAGAAAAGAAGGTAAAATTTCAAGAGTATTTAACCTAATAGTTAAGGGATTGGACATTAGCTTTTATCAAAGAAACTGAATTAACTTTATATCATTGTACACATTATGTGCGCATTGGCAAGCATAGGAACGATAGAATAGTTGTATTTCTTTAAGAGTGTTAGATATGATTAGATATTATTTGATATTGTTTGATATTGTTGAGATATTGTTAGATATTGTTAATCACAATATCAAATAATATCTTTTTATTTACCCTATTTGTATTCTGTTACTCTTTTGAGGAGTACCTTTCTTTATTATAAATACACTGCCCTATGTGTGGTAAATACATAAGGGAAATTAACCCTATATTCAACATGGTATCAGAGCTTAAGGTCTCTTGGGATTTTTTTCGGCTCTGCCACTGAACCTGCAGCTGTCGCCGCCTCCATCGCCGCCGCCGCCGCCGCCGTCACCAGAGTAGCAGTTCGGACCGCTGAGCACAGGGTTTTGCTCGCCTCCTTCGTGCGACCTCCACCGTGGAAGTTTCGCAGTCATCGGAGCAGCCACGCTCCCTCACGCGCCTCCCGAAGCCGCGCCACCTTCTCCCGTTCCGCCGCGCGTGGCGGCGCGTCTCGCCGCCGTTCAGGCCGCCGATCTTTGCGCCGGCGTCGCCTCCTTCTCCTCTCTCTGGATCTGTCCTCGCTGCTCCAATCGGACCTCTTTGGTGTTTTAGGGTTTTTCTCTCTCTTCCTCCATGGCATCTTCCGCTGCCACTTCCAATTCTGAAGTTACCTCTGTCAACTCCGTTGCTCAGACTGATTCTTCCGCACAATCCTCTGCTGTGGATCCTCCTTCGTCTGTACCTTCAGACAAATCTGCTATCTTCAATGATTTTCTTCAATGGTATGAGGATCGAAAGCCCTCCAGTTCCACTACTTCGTTGCCCACACGAGTACATCTTTTGTCGGTCCGACTCACTCTTCTTCTATTGGCCCTTGGGTTCTTGACTCGAGCGCCACCGATCACATCACTCGGTAACAAATCCTTATTTTCCTCTTTCACTTCTTCTCATAATTTACCCTCTGTTACAATGGCTAAATGGGTCTACAACTTTAGCTCATGGTGTTGGAACGGTTACTCTTTTTCCCTCGTTGTCCATTGATAATGTTTTGTATGTACCCGGGTCCCCCTTTAACTTATTATTCATTAGCCGTCTAACTCGATCTCTTGATTGTGTTATCTCTTTTACCAAAACTTTTGTTTCCCTACGGGACCGGAGCTCGCAAAGAGTGATTGGCACCGGATGTGAATCACATGGACTTTATTATCTTCAACCTTCTCCACATGTTGGCACGATTATGGAGTCTCCTTCTCTCCTTCATGCTCGGCTTGGTCACCCTGGTCTGCGCAAATTACAGCAACTTGTTCCCGGCTTATCCCGAGTTGTCCAATTTGGTATGTGAGTCCTGTCAGTTAGGCAAACATAGTCGTACTTCCTTTTCTCGTAGTGTTTCCCAGCGTGCTTCATCCCCCTTTGCCTTAGTTCACTCGACATTTGGGGACCCAGGTCGTGTTAAGTCTAATTTAGGTTTTCAATATTTTGTTACTTTTATTGATGATTTCTCTCGTTGTACTTGGTTATTTTTAATGAAAAATCGTTCGAGTTGTTTTCTATATTCCAAAACTTTTATCATGAAATTAAAAATCAATTTGGTGTCTCTATTCAAACTTTTCGAAGTGATAATGGCCGTGAATATCTTTCAAACTCGTTTAAACAATTTATGGCTCCTCATGGCATTCTTCATCAAACTTCCTGTGCTTATACCCCTCAACAAAATGGGGTGGTCGAGCGCAAGAATAGACACCTTATTGAAACAACCCGTACTCTTTTAATTCATGGTGAGGTTCCTCAACATTTTTGGGGTGATCTCGTTTCTACTCGCTCGTTATCTTATTAATCGTATGCCCTCTTCGGTTTTAGATAACAAAATTCCCCATTCTATTTTATTTCCTCATGACACTCTCCATCCTTTACCTCCGAAGGTTTTTGGGTCTACCTGTTTTGTCCACAATTTTGATCCTGGTCATGATAAGTTATCTCCTCGATCACACAAATGTGTTTTCTTAGGATTTACTCGATCCCAAAAAGGATACAAGTGTTTTTCTCCTTCTCTTAATCGCTATTTTAGTGTCTGCCGATGTCACCTTCAATGAGTGTTCCTTTTACTTTAAGGACCCTTCCCTACCTGCTGAGTCTCCATCTCGCTACAGTTCCCATTCCTCGTTCTCATTGATCCTTATGTTGAGGACCATCCACCATTAGCCCCTCCTCCTCCACCACCCCTTCGGGTTTATAGTCGCAGACCTCGCCCACAACAGACGCCACATGACTCACTCCCAGTGCCAAATACTCGCCTCCTCCGGTTCCGTCCACGTAGTCCGACCTTCCTATTGCCCTTCGTAAAGGTACGCGTTCTACTCGTAATCCTTCTCCACATTATACTCGCTTTAAGTTATCATCGAATTTCTTCACCATTTTATACCCGTCTCTCGTCTATTTCTTCGTGTCTATTCCTAAATCGTCTCTCGAAGCCTTAGCCCACCCCGGTTGGCGTCGGGCCATGCTAGATGAACTCGGTGCTCTTCGGACTAGTGGAACCCGGACGCTTGTCCCATTACCATCTCGGAAAATCTGTTGTTGGTTGCGGGTGGGTCTTCGCTATCAAGGTTGGTCCCGATGGTACTATTGATCGCCTCAAAGCTCGCCTTGTAGCCAAAGGCTATAGCCAAATTTTTGGGTTGGATTATGGTGATACTTTCTCTCCAAGTGGCAAAGATGGCTTCGTTCGTTTATTCATTGCCATGGTCGCTATTCAACAATGGCCTCTTTATCAACTCGGATGTCAAAAATGCTTTCTTGAATGGCGATTTGCAAGAAGAGATTTATATGGAGCAACCTCCCGGATTTGTTGCTCGGGGGAGTCTTCCGGATTGGTATGTCGTCTTCGCAAATCTTTATATGGCCTAAAACGAGTCTCCTAGGGCCTGGTTTGGAAAATTTAGCGACTGTTGTTCAACAATTTGGCATGACTAGAAGTGAGGCGAGACCACTCGGTCTTTTACCGATCACTCGAATCGTTGGATGTATCTATTTGATAGTGTATGTCGATGACATTGTTCTTACGAGTAGTGACCATCATGGCATCTCTCGGATGAAACAACACCTTTGCCACCATTTTCAAACCAAAGATCTTGGCAAACTCATATATTTCTTGGGTATTGAGGTAGCACAATCTACCGATGGCATTGTTATATCTCAAAGAAAGTATGCATTGGATATTTTGGAGGAAACCTGGGTTGATGAATTCAAAGCCTCGTTGACACACCCATGGATCCTAATACCAAACTCTTGCCAAATCGGGGGAACCAATGTCGGATCCCGAACAAGTATAGAAGATTAGTTGGAAAATTAAATTATCTTACAGCTTACTCGCCCCGACATTTCCTTTGCGATCGGTGTGGTGAGTCAATTCCTCAATTCTCCTTGTCAAGATCATTGGAATGCAGTCATCCGTATATTGAAGTACATCAAAAAGTCTCCTGGAAAAGGTTTGGTGTATGACTCCCATAATCATACAAGAGTTGTCTGCTATTCGGATGTCGATTGGGCGGATCTCCCTCCGATAGAAGATCTACATCCGGGTATTGTGTTTCCATTGGTGGTAACTTGATCTCATGGAAAAGTAAGAAACAAAGTGTTGTGGCAAGATCCGAGTGCGTAAGCGAGTATAGAGCTATGGCCTCAGCTACCCGTGAACTTATTTGGCTCAAGCAATTGCTTAAAGAGCTACAATTTGGAGATGTCACTCAAATGACACTAGTGTGTGACAATCAGCCGCTCTCCATATAAGCTCTAATCCCGTCTTTCATGAGAGGACTAAACACATTGAGATTGATCTGCCATTTTATTCGGGAAAAGATTATGTCTCGGAGACATCAAGACCGAGTTCGTTAACTCATGTGATCAATTAGTAGATATTTTCACTAAGTCTTTACTGGGGACCTAGGATGGATTATCTTTGTACCAAGCTAGGCACATACGATTTGTATGCTCCAGCTTGAGGGGGAGTGTTAGATATGATTAGATATTATTTGATATTGTTTGATATTGTTGAGATATTGTTAGATATTGTTAATCACAATATCAAATAATATCTTTTTATTTACCCTATTTGTATTCTGTTACTCTTTTGAGGAGTACCTTTCTTTATTATAAATACACTGCCCTATGTGTGGTAAATACATAAGGGAAATTAACCCTATATTCAACAAAGAGGAAAAAATCTAGGTTCACAAGGTGGGGAAATTCATGGCTAGTAGGCATTGGAGTTTTGTCCTTTACAAGACACCTCATGTGGGGAAACTGTATTGTGTATCATAAAAGCTTCAAGAGTTTCTCAACTTCACTTAAAGTATGTTGTGCTTGGAAAGGAAGGTGAACGAGACTAGGATGAAAAAATTAGAGAGGAACGAAATGAAAAGAATAAAAAGGTAATAAATTTCACTTGTAGAAGCTTGATAAAGGAAATGAATATGCATGGCCGAAAATTATTTTTTGCATCTGTACTAATGGTGGTCTAAATGAAAGTAAGATAGAATTTCAAAAGATGGAATGCGATTAGGCCCAGTTTGTAAAAAAATGGAAATGATATTGACTTCTCTTATTTCTACCCCATGCACATATTAGTGTGAGTTCAAGAGTATCTAGAATACCAAGTTTCACCAAGAGACACTAAAAGTCGATTTGGCTAGAATTTCAAAAATAGAAGTTCCTTTGCTGGCACCAAACATTTCTCAATGAGATTCTATATGCTCTACCCCAGAAGCAACCATTGCTTCTGTAATAGAAAATTGAGTTTGGGTGCTCTTACATTACCCTAAAAGAAAAAAAAGAAAAAAACTTCAAAATATTCTTTTCTACAGTCTAAGACAACCAATTACTAGGCTATAGATATCTTTCTTTCCTATTTATCCTCTTAACCAGAAAGCATATAATGATTTTAAATTCTCATTTACAACCCTTCATCATTTGGTTTTCTAGTAAGCACAACATCTTTGTAAGATCACGAGTCCCTCTGCATATTAGTCCTCAACAAAAGAAACTACATGCATGCTTTTGAAGTTAGGGCCCCCTCCTGGAAAAAAAGAGGGCAATGTCTACTTGGCAAACAACAGCTTAAAAATGATCAGCGGTGTGTCTTGCAAATATATTTTCATACCGTAACATCTGAAAAACCAACAAAATTATCCAGCTCTCCAAAGTGAGCCTGAACAGGAGCCTTGGCTTGGGCAGGGTCCGCAAGTTCAGAAGAAGGAACTCCATAGAAAGCTACAGCAGCATCAACTTCTGGAACCAAGACGGAGCTTGCAACAGCAAGAGCACCCCCCATACAAAATCCACTAACACCAGCCTGTTGCAATTAAAGATAAAACCACAAGTTGTTGAACCAGTGACTTACCTCTAATTTAAGCAAAATAGTATTTCTTAATATACAAAGTATTAAAAAAAGTATTGAACAACCAGATTCAGTATTATGTATTGCTTTAGGCATGCTAATCTATGAGGAATAGAGGACTTAAATTATCTGATTTGCAACAGACTTAATTCCCATGCTCTCCACCCATAAAAACTACCTTAAGCTAATAAGCTATTCACTTTCAAACAACATTAATAAGCACTCTGTTGACACAGACTTATCATTTCATGATAGTATAACACCCAAAAGCACATCAAAATTATGAACTGTGTGAAATGTTATAAAATTGCAGTAAAATAATTCCCACGTAATTATCATTATCATAACGCTAAATTTTTCAAATAAAAAATAAAAGGAAGATGGATTCAAATTACCATAAGTATTTGGCCGTTATCTTGACTCGCTAGATTACAAATATAAAATATTTGCACCCTAAATAATAACAAAATATTAAATTTTTTAACAAAAGAAATAGAAGCAGCATACACTTGATAAATGGGGCCAATTAATATATGGCTTAATAGCACAAGTTTTCATACTGAATGCCTATATATTGGAAAATCAATATGGTGTGTTTGTAACTAATGATTTGTAATGGAAAAAGTTTATTTTCATAGGTCAGTTTTTTCATTAATTCATGCACCAAAATGCAATTAAGTCCAAACCCACCCTTGAGTCTTGATAAAGCTGTCTAGTTATTTTAACGAATGAAAGGGGTATGATGAATAAACTTGTACACTACAGCTTACACCAAAGCAACCGATAAAGTATAATTATCGTATGCCTAATGCAGAGAGCCAAACCCTCAAGCTAACTCACCGAATCTTAAGCAAAGGCTAGTTTATGCCTTCATGGGTTGTTGATAAAACACATAAACCCTCTGCAATCACAGAACGGTGATAAAGTAAAAACAGAATGCCTCTTCAGACAAAGGTCAACATCAAGAACTTGGTGTAGTTAAGGGTGTGCTTTAAATAAATAAATTTTTATCTTGGAAAAACATGAATAGGTAGGAACCTTCTTTGAACCATTTGCCTTAAGCCAGTTAACTGAAGCATGAATATCTTTCACAGCGCCTTGCCAATCAAGACCATCCATCAAATGTTGTGCTTCTGCGACATCCAGACCAACCTTTCCTCTGTACAGACTGGGAAAAGGAAAAACCCATTAAAAATCTGAATACAGCATATCCTACTACACAATACACAACGACCAATGATTAAGAAATTTTCGGTGGTAATAGTTATCTTACTCTGGAATAAGAGCTTTGAATCCCCGACCGAGTTGAGAAATCATCACAGCATGGTTTTTAATTTCAAAATCCACACCCCACCACTCCTGAAGCACAACGATTCCAGGAGCGTTGTTTTTGCCAACAACATATGCATCGAATGCCTAATCAATTAAAACATAAATTAAGTAGCAAGAAATTAGCAACAAGGTTTGACTACAGATAGCAAACATAGAAATATGTTTAGAAAATGGCATAAAAATACTTCAGGCCCAAGAACATCACTAGCATTGATATCTTATTAATCTGGTCTAAATCAAAACCAAGATTTCCAAAAATGGTCCGCGGCCACGATTTCAGCCATGTCACATTGGCCATAATTTCCACAATTTCCTGCAACTTTAGGCTGCAAAATGAAAACCAAATCACGGCTGAAATGCATACCAATTTTCAGCTAGAGTCCAGAATCACTGCTAGCACAGAATGAAATAATCATTTTTAAGTTCTGACTCCAATTCACTGCTTCCAGAATATAATTATCCAACACATTGAGGCCAATAAAGTCCCAAACATTATCTTTATCACTGCAGTGGTTCATCTATACCATCCAAGTTTAACTCAAAAACCCATGACTCAATTCCCACCAAGAAAAAAAAACAAATCAGAAAGATTCTATTTTGCAGACAAATGAAAGTGGAAATTAATATTATGAACAGAATGCGGCAAAGCAGCGCAACCCCATATATGAAAGAAATGGAATTGGAAAGGGTTGTGGTGACTCACAGTGTCATCATCTCTTTGAATGCGGATTTTGTTGAAAGGAGCTGAGTCAGCGATAGAACGGAGTGAGGAGCGACATGCAAAGGGTGAGATGGTCCGAAGCGGGGCGGTGGTGAAGAATTTGGGAGCTACGCGCAACATTCCTCACTTGGCTTCTAGACGAGGCTAAGAATAACAATGAACTGAAGAATGGTGAAGATCTCACTTTGCCTTCAGTTTTCTCTCAACAGCCTTAATTCCAATTATGTTCGCAGTATTATCAATTTATTATTTTAGTACATATAATTCTTTAATTTAGCATCCAAGAAAAAAAAGGGTTCCATTTATTCCTTTTATCTTTAGTTCTTAATGACCGATAAGTTTCGTATATAAGAAATCGAATTTAAAAATAATTTATATATTCTTCCTTAACTTCAACCAGAACAATACCTAAAAAATAATAATAAACCTAACAATACTATTTTAGATCACTTGATTTACATTTCCTCAACAAATATATGATATAAATTTTAGTACCTTATCATCATCTTGTCCTTCAATTCATTTTTTTATCTCTTGCGTGTTTATATTGATTTTAAGTGAAAAAAGAAAATAAAAAATAATAACAAACAAAGTCACTTGTGGAAGTGTTATTAGAGAGTTTGATAAAGTGTATATTTGAGTACTCGTGGACCTCACAAAAGTTATTACATCTTTTTCTCTGAGAAGGTAGCACAATAAAATCATTGAATTAACTTATATATGGATGAAATAAATATTATCAATTGAGAGGATAAAACTCTAATTCAGTAGATTTTTCAATAAAAAGGAACCATAATAGGTGATATTTCAGTAGAATAAAAGAAGTAAACCTTGTGCCGAAATAGAGATTGAAGTAATCTTAAATCAGTGACTTTGACTTTGAAGATAACCTTCACGCGAAATTTATATCTTTAGCCATTAGTCTCTATATCTGTGTCTGTTTTTCTGCACATTTATTCTTATAATTAACAGCACATGATGGATCATACAGAGTTGTGGACTTATATGTTACGTGATGTGTTTTTTGTCTCACTTGTTTGTTCTCTTTCATGCGTAGAGGATCAGAACTTTGCTACCGACTAATAATTTATTTGTAATAATAGATAAGGAGCATAAAAACAACTTGGTTAGCTATCATCATTCAAAGTAAACACAGCCTTTTCTTATAAGCTTGGTTCAAATCAATGGCCAACCAAGACTCTCTCCCCCTCTATGAAAAATACAGGTACAAACACAATTACAAAAGGGTAACGGATAGCTTGCTTTTAATCCTCCTCTTACTGCTTCTAGGTTATCGAGTTATCTCTGTCAACAACTACTCTTTCCCTTGGTTTGTTGCCTTTTTATGTGAGTCATGGTTCACCATCTCTTGGTTTTTCACCCTCACCACTCAATGGACTCCAGCAGCAATCAAAACCTACCCAGATCGTCTCTTGCAAAGGTAACTCATTCTTCTCTCCCTTTACTCAATAATTTCTAGCTGCCACTTCAATTCAATATGTATGCCAATTATCTTCAACTGTTGCTATTCTACTATCACTAAAAAAATCATATATATATATATACTTATCAGATGTTAGATTACCCTCGTTAATAAAGAGTATGGACTATTCTTTTTCTACTAAAATAATTGCATGTTAGAGCTTCCTGAATCCTGACCTGAGAAGATTAAATCGTAAGTAATATTTTTTTTCTACTGAGTACTCACTAAGTTGAGGAAACCAAGAAACATATTAGATGTTGCTAAGGAAGAACTCATGAGCAATATTATGAATCAAGTCTATGACATCATGATTCATGGCAGGATATTATTGTTTGGTAACATTTATCGGTATAGGAAACTCTGTATGAATCATTGGTACATTATTCTCTCTTACTAGGATATACTATATCTAGTCTGCAGGAGCTTCCACCAGTTGATTTATTTGTGACAACAGCAGACCCTGAGCTTGAACCACCCATTATCCCAGTGAACACTGTGTTGTCTCTGTTGGCACTTGATTACCCAACTCACAAGCTTGCTTGTTATGTTTCTGACGATGGTTGCTCCCCTCATACCTTCTACGCTCTTCAAGAAGCCTCTAAATTTGCAAAGTTTTGGGTACCATTCTGTAAGAAGTATGATGTGCAAGTTAGAGCTCCATTGAGGTACTTCTCTGATAAGCCTGCAGTTTCCATGGCCAACGAAACATCAGAATTCAAACAAGAATGGTTACAGATGAAGTAAGTTCTACAGTTACATCATAATGCAGCATGGATTCTTAGGTTTAGATAAGCAAGCATTGAATGTTATGACAACAACAGATTAAGAAATGGAAGCAATATATTGAAGTTTATACTTAAATTAGTAATTTGGTCATGCAATTTGACATTTTTATATTTTAGTTTTTATACATAAAAAAATCACCTAAAATGTTTACATTTGTGAAAAATTTAGTATTGAACTTTGTTGATTTGCTCATCTATAAAGGAAGTAGTGGTATAAAATTTGTCTTTTTCTTATTCTCTATTAAAAGATTAAAAATATTGAATAATTTCATTATCAATCATTTAAAATGTACAGTAGCTAGTACTTTTAGAATGATTATTATAAAAAGTTAATATTCTTATTATAAATGAGAATTTTTATATTGAATAACAATGTAATTTTTGTTTTATTCTGAGTCCATAAATTATTTTATTATTGGTAATATGAAAGTTAACTTGAAAAAATTCAATGAAATAGATAAAGTTTATAAATTTATATAATTTTTAAAATTATTTTATAATTCATTAAATAATGTTTATTTAATATATGGTATACTTTTTCAAATATAAACAAGCATTGATATAGATGTTTAGTTTAAAGTTTCCTATATATGCATTTTCATTAAAAATATTCAACTGCTAAATAATTAAAATTTAATATAGTAGTTAAGGTTATTCTAAGGATAATTCCACCTTCATCTGTATTAATTTATTATATTGTCACCAAATTTTCTTAGATGCCAAAATTATTTAATTCTCAAACTCAAATCATGAATTCATGTGTATGTTGGCAGGATATGTATGAGAATCTTAGCTACAACATAGAATTAGACGCGTTCCGAAACTCAAATTCATGTCATGGACACTTTGACATTTTCTCAAACACTGAGACGACAAATCATCCAACTATAATCCAGGTATAACTTCGATATTCCATTAGTTACCTCACATGTGTGAAAGAACTCAACATATCAAACAAATCTTATTCGTTTACATTCATTTACAATATATATCTGCTTCTGTTATAATTGTTTTTAGTAGTGCTTTTTTCAATTTATTTTGTTTGTTTATGATAAAAGCAAAAAATAAAAATTGGTAGAGATATTTGATTCATAGTTCTGTTTTAGTTTTTTCAAGTTATATTGTTCTTATTAAACCATCTTCTTTATACTTGTAAAAAAAATTAAAAGAAAATACACTTAACAAAAACATTGCTCACAATATTATGAATTTGCAAGGTTATATGGGAGAACAAGGAATGTCTTGCAGATGGATTGCCACATTTGATATACATATCTAGAGAGAAAAGGCCAAAACAGTCACATCATTTCAAAGCTGGTGCTATGAATGTGTTGGTGAGAAATTAACTCTTTTATTCAATAAGTCACACTAAGATAATCAGTTTCTGATTTTTTTTATTTTTTATTTTTCATTTCTCTCATGTTTGCCATGTTTTCCAACACAGATTCCAATTATTTTTCAGTTATTATCCAATTCTTTTTGCTTCTATAATTGAACTTCTCCAAAATATTTCAGACAAGGGTATCTGGGTTGATAACCAACGCTCCCTTTATGTTGAACGTGGACTGTGACATGATTGTAAACAATCCAAAGGTTGTTCTGCATGCCTTGTGCATTCTGCTTGATTCCAAAGGTGAAAAAGAAGTTGCATTTGCTCAATTTCCCCAACAGTTCTATGCTACATTGAAGGACGATCCTTTTGGAAATCAAATGGCAATCTTTATCAAGGTCATTGTAAATAAAATACTAATCTTTGTATAGTATAATGTTAAACCTTTTTAGTACTATAGCTTATAAGGTCTAAACAAATCAAAACAATGCAGTACTTGACTGCTGGAATGGCTGGTTTGCAAGGACCTTTCTACAGTGGAACAAACTGCTTAAATAGAAGAAAAGTTATATATGGTCTTTCTCCTGATAGCATGGAAAATGGTATGTTATTGTTACACAAATATATTGATAGAGCATGTATAGTTTGCTTAGTTAATTAATTTAATTTGGTTTATGTACTGTTCTTATGTTTGTACTTTGTAGCAAAATTTTCAGGAAATAGTTTATCAGAGGAGGAATTAGAACAAAAGTTTGGAGATTCAAAGGAGATTGTGAAAACAGTTGCTCATGCTTTTGAGGGGAAGACATATTTGCCTAGTGATGTTAATATTTCTATCGTTGTTGACATTGCAACCCAAGTTGCTAGTTGTGGATATGAACATGGCACTGGCTGGGGCAAACAGGTTTAAAGCAAGCTTTATACGGGGATTTTTGAAAATTAGTTTTTCCTCTTAAAATGAATCCAACTAAACATGCAGAAGTAGTGAAAAATGATTTTGTTTGGTTAAACTGTACAGAAATTGAAAGTCAATGTCGGTTTTATGCAAATTATAGGTGGGTTGGATATATGGATCAATAACAGAGGACAAACTCCTTGGACTGACCATACATGAAAAAGGTTGGAGATCAGAATTGTGTACACCAAACCCAATTGCCTTCACTGGAATTGCTCCAGGAGGTGGCCCAACTGCAATGGCTCAACAAAAGAGATGGGCCATAGGATTGCTTGAGATCTTCTTTAGCAAGCACTGTCCTCTTTTTGGCACCATGTTCCATAAGCTTACTTTGAGACAATGCTTAGCATATATGTGGATCATCAACTATTGGGGCCTAAAGTCAATCTTTGAAGTTTCCTATGCATGTCTCCTTTCTCATTGCATTATCACCAACTCCAACTTCTTGCCCAAGGTGAGCTTTGCAAATTGCAAAATATATGTTTAAACAAACAAACTAAACTAAAAAATATATTTTGCTCATTGCAGGACCTAGGCATGTGTATTGCCATTGCATTTTTCACAGTTTACAAGATATATACTATATCAGAATATTTGGCAGCAGGACTGTCATTTCGAGCATGGTGGAACAATCAAAGGATGTCGAGAATAGCATCCATGAATGCTGGTTTTTGTGCATTTATTTGCATCCTACTTAAAATGTTAAGAATATCTGACACTATATTTGACATAACAAAGAAAGATGTACCTCTGACAGATGATGTTAGAGATGATAAGGATGCTGGTCGGTTCACCTTTGATGAGTCCCTAGTTTTCTTGCCAGGCACTACCATTTTGTTGTTGCAGTTGTCGATATTGTTTATGAAGTTATTGAGATTGCACCCACTAAGTGAATGTGGAGTAGTTGAGATTTTTTGTAGTATTTATTTGGTAATTTGCTATTGGCCATTTTTTAGAGGATTATTTGAGAAAGGGAAGTATAGGATTCCCTTCTCCTTGATATACAAGTCAATTATCTTAACATGTTTCTTTGTACACTTATGTAAAGGAACCATTGATGGTTAATGGGCTAGTCATGATTATCAATTAATATAAGAATATCAAAATGGAATAGTAATTTTTTTTCTCTTTTATTTTATGATGTATTTTTTTATGTGTAAATAAAAAATGTCAGATAATATAACGTAATTGCTTATGAAATTTATTTTTTACTTATATATATATATATATATATATATATATATATATATATATATAGCGCGCGCTGTTGTGTATAATAGCCCTAAAAAAATCACTTTCTTTACAAAATAGTGATTCGTTATTTCACAAATTTTAAGTATTTTTTTTACAAAGTCGCTTTTATTAATAAAGTGAGAGAAAATACACCTGTCTTGTAGTGACTACTATACACTACTTACATGGTTACAACACAGTTTTCTTTTAAAAAATTATATACGGAAAAAAAAAATCTGAATAATATGTTAAAAATGAAAAAAATACGAATTTTATAATAGTTTATGATATGATTAAAAAATGAAAATGAAAAAAAAACAGTGATTAATTAAAAAAAAGATATTAATCACTCTCACATTTTTTTCACCTTCATAATCTGTGTTTTATATATCCAATGTATTCGGAATAGACTTTAAAAAATTGTAAATTTTTTAGATAAGGAAAAGCCCGTTTCAAAAAGTTTTAAAGTAAAAAATAGTCCTATGTTGTTGATATTGTTCATTAAACCTCAATTTCATTGACTTCCAAAACTGCAGGAGACTATTTTTTGTAATCAGGCTTGAAATTAGAAAAATATAACTCGTCAACCATTTAATATTATTATGTAACAAATTTAAAAAAAAAGTGAATTATATATATATATATATATATATATATATATATATAACAAAATTAAACAGGAGGCAATTATGAATATTGGTGAAAAAAAGAAGATAAACATTGACAAATAACATATTATGAAAATAATTTAAGAAAATGAATTTCATAGTAAAACTTTACAACTAAGAAAACGATAAAAAAAAAAAAAAAAACAAGCACATGATATAAATAATTGTGAAATATAAATTAAAAAAATACATTTCAAATACTTATTATAAAGATATTTCCTTTTAGTATTCTTTTATTAAATATTAAATATTAAATAAAAATTACATTTATTTCTCTTATTTTTTATGTTAAATGATTCACAGTATCCGATTTTAAAATAATCATTTATCTTTAATAATTTCAATAAAATATAATATATATATATATATATATATATATATATATATTAGTTTTACAATTAACTATTTATTTTTCTCCTTATTTTAATAAATCAAATTTATTTTTATTGTATTTTTAATAAATTTATATTCATCTTCCTTATTTAATTTATAATAATATATTTGATAAGATGTAAATAAATAATTATAGATTAAAATTTTAAAATATAAAACAATTATTTTGTTATAAAAATCGAATGATTTAATTATTACATATTAACCATATAAATAAATTCTATTGTTACTTAATTATAATTTATCTTGGAAAAACTTTAAAAATATATTCTAACATAAAAAATAAATAATTACAAAATATATCATAAATTATTAATTTATTACTATATTTACTTATAATCTTAATATAAGTATAAAATGAATATAAATAAAGAGTATGAGTGCTACATAATTAATAGCATAAGCAGCGAATGTCAGAACGTCGTAAAATAAAATCAGTGTCTTTATATTTAATTATTGATTTTTTCTTATAAAAATTCTTTAATTTTATAGTTTAAATTTTTAATTTTCTTAATTTTTAATAAGTGTGTTATTTTTTAAAATAAAAAAATTACATTATAATATATGAAAAAGGCATAAGGAAAATACATATATATATTTAAACACTAGAAAGGTGTCTTAGACTATGTTGTTTAATGAACTTTATTGTTTCTCATATTCATGGAGAAATAAATGGTTTGTGTTTTTATAAGTGGAGTTCGTAATAGAATTTAATAATATTAGAGATGTTGTTTTGAGTTTTGATTTTTTTCTTCTTTTATGTGTTGAATCATTTTTTGATTTGTTTATGTTGAATATTTTTTATTTTCTTATGATTTTTATATTGTTTGAAAGCTGAGATAAAAATAATTTATATGTATGATTTTATCGGAACAATATCTCAAAAGTGGAGAATAATTCATGTTAACTTTGATTTTATTTAATATAGAAATTTTCTTTTGAAAATTTACCATGGATATACTTATTTTAATAAAAGGACTAATTTGTTTGATTTAGAACATGATTTTTCTATATTAACTTTGGTTTAGTTTCTGCTTTGTAATTTATTTTTATTTTTATTTTATATTGGTATAGATAAAAATGATTATTTATTTGAAATATTAGGAAGGTAAAAAAAACTATTTTAAATTAATGTGGATATATACGTCATTTAACATAACTTTAGAAGTGGCAAATACAATTTTTCTATAATAATAAAATAGTATGTTATAAGTCATCATTAAAGGTCATTATAGGTTTTTAATTTAGTGATTGAGCCACCCTATATTATCATTATAGTAATTAGCATTTCATGAATTTAAAAAAAAAGGAAATCATATAATAATAAAAAAACGATGCAACTAGAAAATTTCAAAAGAAAAACATGAATATAAAATAAATATATATAGAATAACATTATCATTTCCAATACAAACATTTTAAATTTAAGATTTTACGTTTAAAATATAGTGAGTGTAAGACGTGAAATTGAGTCCTAAAGAAGAAAATATATTTCATTGTATAATTAAATTAATATTTTAATTTATAAAAAAAGATAAAAATAAAAAATTATAAAAGTGTAAATCTTATGAAATTTTATCATTGAATTATAAATTTTCAACATCGTGGAAATCACTTAAAACTATCATACAAGAAGGTTTTATAAAGTATGAAGTTAAAGATGTTCTAATTTTTACAAACTTATTTTATAAATAGTCTAGGACTAAAAGACTAAAAGTTTTCTAATTTGAAAACATGTAATAGGAGATTGAATATGATGATATTATTTATTAAGCGCAGAGAGAGAGAGAGAAAAAAGTACATTAGGTTTTAGTCATAAAACTTCCCCTGAACTGAGAATAAAACCTTTCAAACATCAAACCTTATCCATAATCATTAAGAATGGCGAATATGGGATCTACGTCTTGATCAAACAAATTTAGCAGCAATTTATGACCCGTGTGGATGAAATGTTTTGGAAAGCTGATATGGGATGGGACCTTAATGCAGAGAACCACGGATTATTATAGCAATCACAATCACATTAAATTTTGATCTTTATCCTCTCTCTATCTTGTGGTCCTATCTCTAAATTGGGTGTGTATGGTATGTTCTTCTAAGTGTGTTTTTCTTTGTAATAAAACACATGGAAGATATATCATCTGTTACAGAACAGTGGCCTAAAATTTATAAGAATTACGTGATTGATCACAACTTTTTTTGCATGACATGTGCCAAAAAGAATACAAAAAGATTGATAGATTGATAGGTCATCTCCATGTTTCTATCAATCTCTACATATGGGCTGCTAGAACCTAATGGCCAATGAAACAAGTTACTACAAATCGGGTGCAAATAAATTAACTAAAAAACATTCAATGATTGAGCTTGTGATAGCACAATAACAACAAAGAAGCATCTAGATAGCCGGCCAGTAATGTTAAGTGCTAACTGTCAATTCATGTCTGTAACTTAGCAAATTTGTTACCACCACCCATTTGTTTTACTATAAATATGCGCTTGGTTCATTGTCATCATATTCACACACACAGTTTCTTATCACATTGGCTCAAATCAATGGCTAACCAAGACTCTGTCCCCCTCTATGAGAAACACCGATACAAGCACCCTCATAAAAGGGTAACGGATAGCTTGCTTTTAATCCTTCTCTTGTTGCTGCTTGGCTACCGCGTTATCTCCGTCAACAACTACTCTTACCCTTGGTTTGTTGCCTTCGTGTGTGAATCATGGTTCACCATCTCTTGGTTTTTCACCCTCAGCACTCAATGGAACCCGGCACAAATCAAAACCTACCCAGAACGTCTCTTGCAAAGGTATCTTATTATTCACTCCCCATTTATCACAATATAGCTGGCTAGGTGCTGCATTTAATCCCTTGCCAAGTTAATTATCAGTGTTGTAATTACTAACAAATAAGGAGTGATATTTACTACGCTAACAGGTCATGGAGCAAGACGATATAAGGAATTTTTTAAGTGTATCTGCATTCGTGTTATTGGATTATGAATATGGTTTTTGTTGCTGATAATATGTGAGTTTTCAGGAGCGTGCAGGAGCTTCCACCAGTGGATTTGTTTGTGACAACAGCAGACCCTGTGCTTGAACCACCCATCATCACAGTGAACACTGTGCTATCTCTGTTGGCACTTGATTACCCAACTCACAAGCTTGCTTGTTATGTTTCTGACGATGGTTGCTCCCCTCATACCTTCTTCGCTCTTCAAGAAGCCTCTAAATTTGCAAAGTTTTGGGTACCATTCTGTAAAAAGTACGATGTGCAAGTTAGAGCTCCATTCAGATACTTCTCTGACAAATCTGAGGTCTCAACGTCCAACAACACACCTCAATTTAAACAAGAAAGGTTACAAATGAAGGTAAGTTCCTTAATTATATCATAATGCAGAGTCTTACATAAGCATTGAATTTTCGTACAAAGGAAAAATAAACAGTCTTTTTAAATCTTCCAGTTAATTAATTCATAATTTCCTCAAATCTATTTTCTACAGTATGAAGTTCCAATTAATAGGTCTAATCAATATAAAAATTAGTATCAGAAAAAATTGTTGATAAGATGCTAAGTAAATAATAAGCTTAACGTATGGAAATCTTGCCAAGAGAAAATGTCCTTTTTTTTATTTCCTGAGGAATTTTTATTGGTACAATGTGGACATTTGTTTATGTTTCCAGGTCTTTCTATTCAGTACCTGGTACTGCCTGTTATAGTAATTTTTTTTTTTTGTTTTCTCGTAAAAAAAATATTAATAAGTTGTTTTGGTCACCAAATTATTAATCTGGTCACCAAATTATTAATTAAGCACTTCTGATACTGTACGTACATACATGTAAAAACAAGAAAGAGAAAAGTAATTTAGTTTCATATAAAAAATTATTTTCAACCATAAATGTTTACAAGTTGAATTTTAATTTGTGTAAATTGTAATAATATTATTTTTTAATTAATTACCTCAAATATTATAAGTTTGATTCTTACACTTGATATTACTTTTTATTTTTTATATTTTTCTTGCAAAAATACATTTAAATTCCATTTTAAGCATATGAAAGATAATTGTTAAACTTCAACATTATTATAATTATTATCAGTTTAAAAAATATTTCATAAATATTTTATAGAAAACTACTCTTTCCAATATTTTTTATAAGAATCAATTGATTATTTTTTTTCAAGATTAAAAAATTACTTAATTTAATTAGTAATATTAAATTTGTTCTAAATTGTATATATATTTTAAAATTATTCCAAACATGAGACGTGCTTTTTTAATGGTTTCACTGGTTCTAACAGCTTCAAATCAGAAGGTATAAAATATTAATTTATTTTGTTGAAAAAATTACACATAATTAAAAATATTGTTGTCAAATAAATAACCATCATAGAAGACATTCTCAATTTCTTATATATAAAAATAATTCAGCTAATAGAGTAAGAGGTTAAAAGAATCTCAAAATGTTTCAATGAAATTGTGGGGTAAGTGATATTTATGTCTTACTAAAAAATTACACGAAATTCATTGTAATGTATCCTAAAATATAATCTATCAATATATTAAAGAATAATTAAATACATATTTTTTGTTGTTTCCTAAACTCCAAAAGAGAGTAACAAAATAATAATTGGGATAAAGAACAGAACGAAAGTCAATAAATAGTAGCTAAATTAGTATTACTAAAAGAAATGTTACGTGTACAACCGATGCATTCGTCAATATACGATATAATAATAATAACAATATTAATATTTGTTATTATATTAATTTTTTTAGATGTTGATCGGATGTATCGGTTCTAATCGGTGCTCCAAGATTAACCTTAAACAGTGTCTCTGATCAGAAACTTTCAAAATGATTTGTCTGATTGTGTGTTGGCAGGATATGTATGACGATCTTAGCAGAAAAATAGAATTGGATGCATCCCAAAAACCAAATCCAACTCGTCAAGACTTTGCTGTTTTCTCAAACACTCACACCACAAATCATCCATCCATAATAAAGGTAATATGGAATACTTCATCATGTCTTGAAGTATTCAACATATCAAACAAATCTTATTCTTTCTATATTCATTTACGTCATATATATCTTTCTCTGTCACATAATTGTTTCTAAGTAGTAAATTTTATTACTTTTCTCTTATTTATGTTATCGTCACACGTATCTCAAATATTCATTTGCTACAATTTATGAGTTATTACACATCTAAAACGTATAATATTTATTAACTTGCCATGATTTTAGCTTAAAAAAGTTGGCATTGCTTACCTACATTATGAATTTGTAAGGTTATATGGGAGAACAAAGGCCTTGAAGATGAGTTGCCGCATTTGATCTACATATCCAGAGAGAAGAGGCCAAAACATTCTCATCATTTCAAAGCTGGTGCCATGAATGTATTGGTGAGAACTGTCTTTTTTGCTTTCTGATATTTCTCACTTCATCAGACAAGACTTTGGTTAGTAAAAAGTTACGTGAGTTTCAAGTGGTTAGGTTTTCTGTATGCACTAGGATATTCAGTTTGTCAAATTTTCATTACACTCATCTTTGTCATGTTTTCCATCAAAAACTGAAATAATCTTTCTTCATCCTTTGGTTAAACTGTCAATCATATTTCAGACAAGAGTCTCGGGGTTGATAACCAATGCTCCCTTTATGCTGAACGTGGACTGTGACATGATTGTAAATAATCCAAAGATTGTTCATCATGCACTGTGCATTTTACTAGATCCCGAAGGACAAAAAGAAGTTGCATTTGCTCAATTTCCCCAACAATTCCATGCTACGTTGAAGGACGATCCTTTTGGAAACCAGATGGCAATTTTGATTAAGGTGATTGGAGTAAAATACTAATCTTCATATCAGAAAAACTCTTTCAACTCAAAAAAGAAAACTTTCTATATAATGCAGTACTTGGCAGCTGGATTAGCTGGTCTGCAAGGTCCTTTCTACGGGGGAACAAACTGCTTCCATAGAAGAAAAGTTATTTATGGTCTTTCTCCAGATAACGTCAAAAAGGGTACATTACAAATATACGTTTATGTTTGCATTGATTTCAATGTTTGAAGTACGATTTTAGTACTATTTCATTATATAGTTTCTTGTTTTAATCATAATATATATATATATATATATATATATATATATATATATATATATATAATAAGTTTTTGTCCATAAGTTGATTTGAATATAACTAATCACTAGTTTAAGCACAACAATTTTATATCAAAAGTCTTTGATGTGAACCATATCCATGCATGGAGCATGGTTTTAATACATCTATTAATTTAATGCCTGTTGTTTATCTTACGCATTGTAGCAAAAGTTTCAGGAAAGAGCATATCAGAGGAGGAATTAAAACAAAAATTTGGAGCTTCTAAGGAGATGATGAAATCAGCTGCTTGTGCTTTAGAAGGAAGAACATATTCGCCAAATGATATTAATATTGCAAATGCTATTGAAGTGGCAAACGATGTTTCTGGTTATGGATATGAATATGGCACTGGATGGGGAAAACAGGTATTTATACCCAAACATTTTAGAGACTTTTTACAAATATAATTATTCCTTTAAAGTTAATCTAACTAAACCTGTTCAAGTCTTTGGCTAATCAAACTTAAAATTGGACAAGAGTCATTTTAGTTTGAAATTGGTTTTGACTAACTTTATATGCCCATATATATATATATATATTTCTTTAATATGTGTATATGTGTAAAAGTATTAAGAAAAAAAATTGAAAAATAAGGATGAGACACAACTTTTTAAGAATTATTCCTCTTCAAATAATTTTTATATTTTTTTCATATATATTGTATTGAAATTGAAGCTGACATGGATTTCGTGGAAATCATAGGTGGGTTGGATATATGGATCACTAACAGAGGACGTGCTCACTGGGCTGACAATACATGGAAAAGGGTGGAGATCAGAATTGTGTACACCAGAGCCCTTAGGCTTCACAGGCTTTGCTCCAGGTGGAGGCCCAACATCAATGGCCCAACAAAAGAGATGGGCCACAGGATTGCTGGACATCTTTTTAAGCAAGCACTGTCCAATTATCGCCACCCTTTTTCACAAGCTTACTTTGAGGCAGTGCATAGCATACATGTGGATTCTCAATTGGGGTGTCAGGCCAGTCTTTGAAGTTTCTTATGCATGTCTCCTTGCATACTGCATCATCACCAACTCCAATTTCTTGCCACGGGTAAGAAAATTGTACAACAAGAAACATCTATATTTAATGACTTTTACTTGGTTTTATATTTGAGGATTTTAATAAAGGTTAACATTGTATTGTGTTTGATTCAGGACCGTGGCATATGTATTCCTGTTGCTTTTCTTGTAATTTACAAGATATACACCGCATCAGAATATTTAGCAGAAGGGTTATCAATTCGAGCATGGTGGAATAATCAGAGGATGTCAAGAATAACACCAATGAATGCTGGGTTTTGTGCTTTTGTTATTGTCCTACTTAAGAGGCTAAGAATTTCTGAAACTGTATTTGACATAACGAAGAAAGACTTACCCCCAACAAATGATGTTGGAGATGATGAGGATGTTGGCAGGTACACCTTCGATGAATCCCTGGTTTTCTTGCCAGGCACTACCATTTTATTGTTGCAATTGACAGCAATAATCATCAAGTTATTAGGGTTGCAACCACTAGTGTCAGTTGAAGGCAAGAATGGGTGTGGCATTGGTGAGATTTTTTGTGCTGTTTATTTGATAATTTGCTATTGGCCATTTCTGAGAGGATTATTTGAGACAGGAAAGTATGGGATTCCTTTCTCTACAATATGCAAATCAGCTATCTTAATTTGTCTATTTCTAAATCTATGCAAAATAATTATATCTTCTTGATGGGGTTTAAGAACTTTTCTCATGTCATTCGTTTTTACAGGGAAACTTTATTTTAATACCCCAAATGATATTAATATTAGTGCCACAAACTTCATGTTATTAGGATACACTGTAAATCTGATTTACACTAAGCTTAAAATAATGTACACAACTAAGAAACAATCATCATTTAAATTTAATTTTTAAGATTAACTTAAACTTAAAGATTATGTTAAATTTAAATCCAAAGTCTAAGAATTATAACATGTTTCAACTATCGGTGAAACTACTCACTTCTTATCAGTTATCATGACTGTAGAATCATTTACAAATGTCAGATTATATGAACTTTACATACAGATATATAGTTATTAGTATAAAAGTAAATTAATATATATATATATATATATATATATATATATATATATATAGTCATAAGAACGTAAAATATGAAAAGAATTAATTTTGATATCAATGAATTATTATTATTATTATCATTATTTATTATTATTATTATTATATGGTTGAGATTACTCCTCGCTCTTCGTTCACACATGATACTGAGGTGGCCCAACTACAAAGGCCCAACAAAAAATGGGCCACAGATTGTTTGAGATCTTCTTTAGTAAGCATTTTTTTATTATTGAAACATTTTCCGTAAGCTTACTATGTGCACACATGTGGGTTTCCAATTGGGCCTGCACCTTGTATATCAACTCCAATTTCTTGCCCCAGGTGAGCATAAAAAAATATTTTGAAAAAAATAATAACAGCATGTTAACAAAACAAGACTAGTGCCATTTATTTTTGTGAAGAGTTATGCAAATTTTCTTGAAATAAATGTTTAAAATAGTATAATGTTTTTGCTTTGAAGAATGTTAGTAGATAAAGAGTAAAAGCTTGTATTATTAATATACCTGTACTATCTATACTATACTATATATTTGGTTAGTTATAGTTAGTGTATTAGAAATAGTGTACAAGAAAATGTATTTTTATTATTTTGAATAATTTATAAGGACATACACATTTTTTTTAAAACAAAGAAAGTAAAAAAGAAATGCATTTTTTAACATGAAAATGTTTAATATAATGAATACTAATAAAAGAGGTGACTAAAATATTTCTCCTCAAAAAAAATTTAACGAAGATTGAATGTATGATTTCTTTATTTATTTGTAACACATGGTGGTTAACTTTGTAAATCAACGATTAAGCATATGCATTTTCATTGAACTTTCCAAAATTTTCATAACATTGGCTCCACATTTTTTTATAATCATTTCATAAATATATATTTTAAAAAATATATATTTAAATATAATTTATTTAAATTAATTTACTTATCTAAATTTGTTTATAATTCATATACAAAATTCATTTATATAAAATAAAAATACTTGACAAAAAAAAGTTATTTTTTTCCTCTCCATATTTATTCTCTTATTTTTATATTTTTTTCTAATTCATTTATTGTTTTTCTCTCTATCTCTTGTCATATATTTATTATTTTTCTCTTTCTCTTCTTATTATGATAGTGATTATATTTTTAATAAAAAAGAAAAAAAATTAGATAAATACAATTATATGTTGTAATTTGTATTACACAATATTAGTTTCAAATAAGAAAATATTTTGTCTATAAACCGATGGTATCTATTATATAAAATGAATTTTAATTTAACATTATATTGAAATTGATTAAACTTAATTTCCAATTTATTGCTGCAATAACCAAATCGAATAACTTCTCCCATAAAACCAATTTAAACTGCAAAAGTAACAGTCACCCAAATGAAATCTGTCAAAAAGTCATGGAAAAAGAAATAAAAAACATTAAAAATGGAGAAAGAAAGGGAAGACAGAAGAGGTAGCCGTGGCAACAACTACTCAAACTTTCCACTTGACATAAAGACGCGACCTTCTTAACTTTCCTGGACACAAAACCCATCTTTCTTTTCTTTTCTCTCTCTAGATTTCTGTTATTACTGTCTTCACTTGTGCTTGTGTGTGACAAAACACAGAGAGAAAGATGGCTATGAACCAATCAAAGGCTGTGTTGTTGAGGGTGAGTTTGGTGGTGGTGGCTCTCTGCATAGCAGGGTACATAGTGGGTCCCCCTCTCTACTGGCATTTCGTTGAAGGTTTGGCAGCAGTGGGCCACTCTTCTCCTTCTGCTTGTGCCCCCTGCGTCTGTGATTGCTCTTCTCAACCCATTCTTTCCATCCCCCAAGGTCTTTCTCTCATCTCTCTTAGATCTGATTTCGTTAACTACTCAATTACCCATTTCGTGATCTTGCTAAAAGAACCATCTTTTCTTAACTGGGTGGGCTTTGGATGAGTGTTTGAGATCTGGGCGCTGTTGTGGGTGTTAGTTCGATATCGGAAGTTGCTCATGACTAATTCAACTGACTTGAGCAGTTTAATGCTTAAACTTCTGGTTCTGTTCTCCTGGATGAGTGATTTGATGGGAGGACACTGTTCACAAAACTTGTCAAATGATGGTGCGGATTGATTTGCTTCGTTAACTTTATTGTGCTAGGGTTTTGGTTTTGCCTTGAGACATAAGTAGACAAGTGAAAAGTAAGAGGTTTCAAACTTTTACACGAATCGTGTGATGGGACTGGCTAATACAGTTCTTAGAGCAATGAAAACTGTAGGGGTTTAAAGTCTTCATGAATTGCTGAGGATATGCTCTTGAGCTTTCAAGTAAATATCAGAGCCTAAAAAGAAACTTGATCTACCTCTCCCCCTTCCTCATTCTATTATTGTTACAGTTTATCATTGTTTTAAATTTGATATTAGAATAACTTAAAAAGAAGGTAATTGATTACCAATTGATGTTAAAAATTGCACCCATGTTGGTCTGAACTTTCACTGCCAAATTTATGAGGCGTAGTTTCCCCCAATAACCTGCTGATAACGAATATGAAACCAAGTACCATAACCTTGGGTTGCTATTATTTCCTTCGGTTATCACTAATAAACTGACAAATCCATAATCGAGTAAATCATAATTTCATTTTTTTTGGTACTATGACAACTATTCTAGTTCCAATTGAATGTCATCATGCAAATAGAGCATGTACTTATTTAAGTTGCTTTCTGTGTTTCTGCAGGGCTGAGCAACACTTCCTTTGGAGGTTGGTTTTGTCCCCTTGATGAACGACAATGAATTATATAATAATCCATCTTGTTCTTGATATACTTTTTTCTTTGTAACACTTGTGTCATGGTAGATCTCTTGGAGTTTAAGTAACAATGTTAAGTCACTTTAAGCAGTAAGACAACTATTAGTTATCCTTATATGGATAGGGATCATAAATCTCATACATCTTTTGTATGATTTCCCTTTTGATTGTGAAAAACAAAGGAACAGATAATTTTTGGCCTACTTAATGTTAAAACATCTAATTATGTTCAACTATGTTCACTGTATCTTTTTGTTTTATGTCACCCCAGTATTCATGTCAATTGCTAAATACAATTTTGGTACTTGTGTTGCAAAATATTGCTCTTAGACAAATCTACTTTGTATTTAAATCAAGGAATCAAACTAAATGGTAATGCAAAAATCCTTCTTGTGCTGTACTAAACTTTTGCTGGGTTACATGTTACTTTAAGGTTTGTTCCCCACATTAAGTATTATGAAAACAAATTTTAATCTTGTACTGGATAGCCTCTGCCATAAAACGACTTGAAAACTCAACAGCAGAAGTTGTACTTTGCCAGCAGCAGCTGCATTGTCAGAAAACATACTATTTTTTTTTTTTTGTGGTTTCAACTAACATTACCAGCTTCTTTTCCTTTTTTTGATTGGAACTGGTATTCAGATTGTGCAAAGTCTGATCCAGAAGTGAGTGAAGACACTGAAAAGAATTTTGCAGAGCTATTGACAGAAGAACTCAAGCTGCGGGAGAACCAAGCGGTGGAAAATCGGCAACGTGCTGACATGGCACTGCTTGAGGCAAAGAAGATTGCATCTCAGTATCAGAAGGAAGCAGACAAGTGTAATTCAGGGATGGAAACGTGCGAAGAGGCTAGGGAGAAGTCTGAGTTGGCATTAGTCGCACAGAAGAAGCTAACTGCATTGTGGGAACTTAGAGCGCGTCAGAAAGGGTGGAAGGAAGGGCTTGGCAAATCTCATGCACACTCTCAAGGGAACGTGCAGAGTTCTTAGATACAATACTTGACATGGCCACCATGGAGGTGAGTGGTTGCATAATAGTTTTCAAGCAAATGGTTTTGCATAATAGATAAAGCAAATCATCATGTGTGTTTGTGAAAGGTCAAGTGTAACATACAAATGTTGTTGTATTTCTATCATTCATTTTTGGATATAGAATCCACGTGTATCACCTTTTAAAGCAAGAAATTGATAATGTTGGGATAAACTTACATAGAAAATATTTTATGACTATCTTTTGGTTTGTTTGTTTTTGCTTTAGTTTCGAACCAAGGTTCTGGGTGCTGCTTCTTCGTTATACTTGTTCAATTTTAGGCTGCTTGATCGACAAGGACAAGAGGAGAATCACCCGGGACCATCAACTGAATTAATTTTGCTCAATCATTTTAAAGTATGGATGGTTATTCAGTTCTTGGACCTTAATTAATTTACCAAAGAATCCTTTTTTCTTGGTACAATATTTTTGTAATTAATTGAATATAGAATAATGTTACAAAATGACTTCCATGAATAATTTTTGTACTTAATATGGATAGTCTTATGTGTGAGAATAGAGAATCTAAGGACTTTTTGGACAATTGTTTTCGTATAGACTTCTAGAAAGAAAATTAATAAGAAAATAAAATTCACTTCTTCAAATTAAAATTAGATTATATACTGGTTAAAAATGAAGGTTTTTAAAAATTGGAGTATACATTGTTTAATTTTAAATTTATGTTTTCTTCTAAAAACTCCTATGGAAAAATTCATTTAACAGGTTTTTAACTCTTATAGATTACTCATATAAGTATTTTAACTGTATGTTTGAATAATATTTAGGAAAAAGTACTTCAAGCGCTGGATTGCTCGTTCTATATTGATCAAAACATGTATTACGATTTTGTCAAAAAATGTGATCATGCATCGTGGTATACAATTGTCTAAAAATGTAAAGCAAAACTCAATTTCATACCTATTTTACCCTTATTATTTTTACAGCTATGCCTCAATTTAAAAATATTAAAAAAAATAAAAATTATCGTACAATGTAATTCAAAATGTTTTATAATAGCAAATGTCAAACGTCCGCAGTGTCATTAAACTTAATGAAATATAAACTAGTGATGGTTAGTCCATTTATAATTTTACTTACGAAACACCGGTGAATTTGACATATAATTAATCAAGTGGATTACCTCAGTCTAATAAATAACACCATGGGTGGTAATCCATAAAATTGTTAATTGAATTGCATAAATATTTATTTACATATGAATTCATTATGAAGATAACAAAAAATAAACTTACGGTATTTAACTTGAAAAAAAAAAGTTGTATCTCTTTCACAATTTTATTTTTATTCAGAAGATTTTAGAACAGCTTAGCGATTATTTTATTCAAAAGTGTAAATCCTCTCCTATTCACAATAAACAGAAAATGTTTTGAATAGATTATGATAATAAAAACTAACCAACTTGTAATCCCAATAAATTAGGCACTTTTGCCCTCACTAATTTTTTATATTGCTTGAGTTTATTTTAATTTTAACACCTGGATTTAATAATAAACTTTTAAAATTGTTAAAATGATTTAACTATCATTAATTACCCATAAATGTAATTATTTCAGTTTGATAGTTAATAGAAAATAAGGTGATAGGGAAGCGTGATTCAATAATCGGTCACTCATTCACCAATCTATGACTTTATTTATACAACACTACCACTAGACACACATGAAACGGACTGGAGTAGAGAATAAAACAAGAGCACTACATTACACCATGATAGGTCTGAAATTTTCTCAATGAATGTTAAACCACCATAACAATACTAATATTTGCAACCTCAATGTTATATAACACCACCACAGGCTAGTAACTTGTTACTCACTTCAATGCTTATACATGTTTCACCAGTAACAAAGTCCCCATCTGAAAATTATAGCATGAATATGCATGTCATGTGTCTGGATAAATGAGTCAAAGCCAAAATTGATTATGGAGTTATATGTGTGGTGGCCATAAAAGTCCAACCTCTGGACTAATTTGATATGAAGTTTTTTTTTTTTTATCAAGGTTTTACAGCCGAATCTGTTGTCTACTATCCTCAAATATAAACTACTATCCTAAAAATGCTTGAGAAAGTCATAAGCAGATGTTTGTTAAACAAATAAGTACGCGAAATAACTTGAATTGTGTTTAGATTAATCTAGTCAGGAAAGTTTGGTCAAAAGGTTTTCGGGGACATTCTCAATGTTGAAAAAAACATTTCTCCAAAAAGCTCTAATCTTATATTGACGGGAACAAACAATAAAAACCAATAAAATGAACAATCATCAATCTTATTTTGCCAAGAACAGTACCTAAAGCAAATAGTAAAGGGCGCATACCAACCAAAACGTTTTTTGATTCCTGAGCTGAAGGTTGAGTGAAGAAACATCTAAACTGTTCCCTTTATAGAGTCCGCAACATGTGGAAGGCGTATGGTAAGATCATCCAAGTTGGGGCAGTTTTGAATGCTCAATCCTTTCTCGTTTGCCAAATGCAATAGACATATGAAGCACAAATGAGGAGAGATGTCACTAATGGTTGCAGCAGCATTGCATTCGCTAGGAAAGTTGGCCAATATATTCCTGAAAGATAAGGTATCCTTTTGACCCTTTGGAATAAAGAGTCAAAGAAACAAATCAATGTAAGAATCAGGACTTACAATCAACCGCTAAGAGAAAAAAAATTGCATTGTTTATTTCCTTATACATAAAGGCAAGGAAAAAAATATACAGTGTTAACAATGGAACAGAATCATAAGGAAAACTGAAATAACATAATGTCGTGAAGAAGAAAACTCATTGTAACAGGCATGTCGTTTTACTTCTGGGGAAACCCAAAAGGGAAAGATTAATTTAAAATATTATAACTAGACAACAAATATTTTGTACGCGGCGCTTTCTACGAAATGGAGGAATCTTGACATACCTGTAAAGGAAGTTTAACAGATTCTTGAACATGGTCCCAAATAGTAATTTTTAGTGCATGAACATCAACTTGTTTGGAAGTCTTGTCGTACTGGACTTCAATTTTATTGACCTGTCATATGAAAGAAAGCATATACGTGAGTTCTAATTGCAATATTTTCGACTGAAAATTAATGATAAGGATTACGTGTAACCGTTATACTTTCAGCACTTTATCTAAGAAAAATATGACAAGAGCAAGTGTGTAAATTGTTCACTAAAACCCACCTGGCGAGGCTGACTAATAAGAGTGTTGGAGTCCTCCACGTCACTCTGAAGATCACCTCCGTAGTCACCAGAGTCATCCCCACAAACACTTCCATTATCCCACGAAGGGAACGATTCATATTCGTTGGATTGTTCTCTAGATCCATCTGCAAAAGACACGGGAAACTGAAACAAAATCTAGCGACAGCTAAAATGTGGTAAAATAGATATTCTTTTATATATATATATATACAGAAAGAGATATGATTACAGTACACCAAATGTGATGTTGGTGCAATTTAATCCCATCTCTCTCTAGATGTATGATCAAATTACACCACGTCAAACTTGGCAAAAAGACAGTTTTATCAAGTTTTAACTACTTATTTTAAATGTTATAATTTTATCAACTTGACAGTCTAATGAAATAGAATAATTTTACAAACTAATTAAAAATTAATTCACGCTTCACATATATTGAAATCATAAATTTACAACTGCAAATATTACCTGAGAAGCTGTTTGCCCTCCTCCCGATACACTAAAGAAACAATAGAAAATCATCAGTGATATAAAATAAACACCGCTCCATGACTTCACATTCATCAGTCGAACACTTTCAACCTCGTGACTAAAATAACTACCTTCACATTAGACAGAAGGAATAACTTGACAAGATCCTCTGGCTGATAGTGGCAGTCCTCAGGAAGTTTTGTATTGCAAGGCAATCTGCTTTCAGGGAGAAGCAACAATTTGGGGTTCTTGGGAGGAGAAAATGTATCTAGCATTTCTTTCTCAAGAGAATTTGTGAAATTTAGTTCAGCTTCAGTTTGCTTCTTACTCTTTGGCTGCCTACTCTTCAGGGTCGACCCATCTTCGGAAGTAAGATGAACCTCTGAGACTACAATAAAGACTCAAATTTTTACCATACTGATTTCTAAAACAAATAAAAGTATTGAAACCGCACCTTTGGATTTTCGATACTTCCAATGATCAGGGCCAGCCCATGCGTTTTGTTTTGAATTAAAACCCAAACTCAGAAACAAATATCCGTCAACGTTGTCAAATCTATCATCCATATAAGCGTCTGGGGAGGGAAATGGCTCATCATTGTCCTACAAGTACAAGATATGGAATGTTATTAAAACAAGAATACCATTCACGTATTGAATATTTAAAGAATATTTTTAAAAGCTCATTCAAGACCTGAGGTCATATCATATATGCTTCTATGGTTTTAAAAGAAAAATACCTGCGGGTAACTGGGAAAACCTGGATCTGCATCATTATAGTCTACATCGGCGACAACCGTCTGGTGATCATGATCGTCACTCCAGGACGTGCTGTTCTCATGTTCTTTGTCAAAAAAAATTTCATTATTAAAAGAAGAAAAATCAAGACCTTCAGATGAATTCTTGCCGTGAAGTTGAACATTAGTGGGCCTTCTGTTACTTTCATCAAATAGGTTTACTATATTCCTCAGACTTGGAGAAATTTCATCCTTCACACGCATGTCCAAGACCATCTGCTCGAAACAATCTACAGAACAAAGTAAGTCCGCTTTGAATATGTTCTTTTGCAGATGTAACAACAGTTTCACCATTTTTTCTAAAAGCAAACACACCTTTGACAAAGGAAAGATCAATAGTATCTGAAATATCAGATTGATCTTGTCTTGCCATACACTTCGCAGGAACTTCTAGTGAATCAAAGAGCACCCTACATCCACCATATATACCGAGATTATTCATTAAAAGACCCTTGGCTCCACCTTCATCAAATTTTGCTGTTGTCTGGCGATAAAGAGGATCCACGACAAAGGAAGCTGAAAAAACACACGATAACATACCAATTTTCAGCACAAACTCAACTCCACCTCGTCAAACAATTAACAGAAATAGATTAGGATTTGTGATCACCATCAAACTTTTTTACATTAAGTGCCTCGAAAGATGATTCCAATGTAGACAAAGGTGACAACTGCATGAAAAAACAGCGGTTAAACAGAGCAACGTGTTTAACCAGTTAAGGCCAGAGATCCATAGACCACAGACCTTTTTGCTTGTTTCTTTCCTGCTTTCTTCTTCTCCACTTTCAATATTAACACCATCCAGGCTAGTGTCTGACATCATGGCTTAGCATTAGAACTAATTAAGAGCAAAATAAGTAAACAGTAAATGCGCTGCACTCTGAATTTCACCTAGGGAGTTCACTAAACGCAATTTTCATTTTTCAAAAAATAAAAACAAGAAAATGATAAGAGGGTAGATAAATTGCAACCTTGCTCAGCTTCTTGGCCTGCTCTGTTCATCCCACCAAGAACTTTATATGCCTCAGAATGCACTGAATCCACTCGTAATGAATAAATTTTGACTCCGGCCTCAAGAGTGCAGCTTGCCTGACCAAACAAAATTCTAATGAACATCTGCATTCTACATAAACATAACTTTACTTCTAGTATCGTTGCTGTGAAAGTATTTTACACTCGTAAGCACATTTGCGCTATCCATAATCAAAGAAGCAAGCCAGTCTTCTACATAACTTGGTGATAAACAGGGTTTTAAATTGTGGTTGCGGTTAAAGTTCAGTCACAATCCTTGATGTTGCAGGAATTGGCAGATGAATATGGCCGCAAAAACCTCATAAACCTTGAAGTTGCGGACGAAATTGCAGCCGCAGACCATTTTTCAAAACCTTGACGATGGAGTTCGTATAAAATTCAAGTTCAAATTTAAATATACGTGCACTGCATATGGGTTTATTATTGTCGCAGGTGACATAACACTGTGCAACTAATCCCCATAAAACAAATATTTCATAAACTATCAAACTGCCTAATAATCATAACATACCTTTTGAAAATTAGTCTCCGCGTCATCTTCTTGTTCGACCTTGATGATATCAGTAAGATGATCGATCAGGTTCAACTCCCATGTGTTTTTCTGATTAATTTTCTGCAAACACGAAAAAAGAATGAAAATAACAACAAAAATGTTTTTTTATTATAAATTTTAGATCTAGATTTTACGTTTTCGCTGGCGAGTTTGATGCAGTTCTGGAACAAATCGAGGATCTGCTGCTTGTTGAGGCAGTGATCGGAGTTGGCCTGAAGAGGTTGGCTGAGGCCGAGGCTCTTGCGGCGGATGGCGGCGGCTCGGGCAGCGCGTGCCTGGGCGCGTTCGAGCTGGTCGTTGTTGGAGCCCAAGACGAAGGGGCTAGTGGGGGACTGGATGCGGAACCTCTGCTTCTGACCCACTGCAGGATTAGGGCTTAGGGTTTCCGCCATGGAGTTTGCAGAGCGGTGTGGGGGTTTGATTCGGAAGTGATAACGTCGGAACCAGAGACTCGGAGATTTGGGAGAAACGGGAATGAAGTAGTTTCCCTCCAATTTTGTAATTTGAATTGGTGGTTGGGTAAAAAACAAACACGCTCTTCCTTTCTTTTTCTATTTTTATTTACAGCATTTCATCTTTTTAATTAAGTTTCAATGTCAATTTTATGTCAATTTTATTTTATTTTTCTTACTTTTTTCTTTTTTCTCTGATTTAAATCCCTTATTTAATTTTAGTTTGTACTTAAATATCTTAAGGTGAGAACAACATAAATGATGATAAGCACATGATGATAAGTTAAAGTGCTTAAAATTTCTAATAATCATACGCTTTTTATTCAATTAAATTGGTCTGAAACATTGTTTACTCTCTTAGTAATCACAATTTTTTTATTTCAATTATTATTTTTACTAACGTAGTTGTAAAGAAAGTCCCTCTTACTTAAAAAGTATAATTTGTCGGAATCAAAATGAAGAAGACCTGTATTCTGAATTATAACATATAAATACACATATTCCAAGGTATCACGTGAAATATTATTTGAAAGTTTATTGTCTAATATTTTGTCTCAAATCATGACGTGCTAACCTCGTATCTTATGTGGCTAGTAGATGAAGTTATCAATAAATTAAAATGTATACAAAATACATTAAAAAAATAAAATTAATGTGTTATCTATATTGATAACTTTTTTTTTTCTAAGTTAACACTATAAAACTTTTTTCAATGTATGTGCACCCATCTTGTTATGATGATTGATTTCGACCCTTGATACTAACCAAAATTCTACCATGTAAGTTCTTTTTACTTAGGCTAGCAAATTAATTTTCAATCAAAATACGTATGAGGATCGAACCTTACCAAGTATCAAAAATGCTACTTTTTTGGTGTTTTGTATTTAAGATGCAGAAAGCAATAAAATGTCGAATCGAAAAACAATACAGGATACTAAATTGCTGAAACTCGTAAAATGCGGAAACCTTAAAAGTATGTTAAATGTAAATGACAAGGAATCGAAAGAACGGAAATGTAAATAGCAAGGAGTCAAGATTGCAAAAAATATACCGGAAATCGAAATTGCATCAATGTTAAAGGACAAGGAAACTTAAACGCGGAAACTTAACTTTCATTGAATTGAAATGACAAGGAATCGAAAGAACAAAAACATAAAATTGCTGAATATAAGGTGCATCAAAATAAATTACCAAGGAAAGTAAAGAAAGCGGTAAAGGTACTCGATGAGCATGAAAATCCAGATTGCCAGAAGCTTCATGGTGTTCGTCATTTTCCGGTAGACTTCTCACTACTAATTCTGTTCTCTGCCAATTTTCTGCCCTCCTTTTCCTTTCATTCTTCGCCCTATTTATAGAGCATCCTTTAAGCAAGTAACCTCTTAGGAGCAGTTAATGAAAACTGCTACCACGTCCTACGTGCCTGTTGCAGTTTTTTCTTTGGTGTCAAAACTGCACCCACGTTCCCATGATCTTCGACCTTTGCCATGGTTTAAAAACTGCTTTCACGTTCCCATACATGAGGTAACTGCTTCTTTGACCTTGGACCTTTGTCATTGCTTGACATGTTTGATTGTACACGTTAATTGTTTCTTTCTTTATAACTTAGCCGGGATTTCGATACATGGGTTAACCTTTCTCTGATGTTAATTTCGGAATTTCGAGAACATTTGACTTGCCTTTGATTTCTCTTAATCTTAACATTACATAATTCTGATTTCTCGATTTCATTCACTAACGGGTATTAAACATTCATCCTTCGATTCTCGATTCAAATTCTCGCTTATATTGTATCGTGGTCGTCGAACACATTTTCCAGCTATCTTTCGATTTATCAGTCTTTAACTCAATCAAAAAGGGTTCTCGATTTGCTCCCATTTGTTTCTCGATCCCTTTACCGATTTCCCACTAACAAAATGCCCCCTTGGAAGAATATAAGTAGTTTCTGTTTATATTCTTTCAACATGATTTTCGTCTTCGCGTGTTGGAGGCCCACAATAACTTAGGTTTTAGGGTTTCTGGGGTTCTAGGGTTTTGGGTTTCTTTTTTGCTTTATGTCGTTGTCTCGTCAGTCTGCTGCCTTACAGTACAAGCCACATTAATTGTCTTTCGCTTCCGTCGTTTCCAGCTCCCTAGGTGATTTTTCCCTTAACCTCTCCATCGGTCTTTCTCTGGTTTTTACGCAAACCTTTACCCTTTGCAACTTCATCTTCTTCCTTGAGCTCTTGTCTTCATCCCTGCGCCTTCATCTCTTACCTTGCTTTTCTTCACTTTACCAGTTACTGAAATGGCAACTTCCTCCAAATCTTCTGACTTTTCCGCTCCACCTCTTCCCTCATTGGCATCTAACCTGCTGGAGATTAACAATTAGAAGTTCACTCCAGTCCCTCTGATGGAGGAAGCTTCTCGGAAAATTGCTGAAACGCAGGTACTTATTCCTTACACTGCTGATGGTGTTAATTACGCTTTTGGGGGTCCTCTTCGTTCTATTGATGGAACTTTTTCTCCCCTCAACCTCTCGAATAGTCCAGCTCTTGTACACCAACCTGAAGTTAGGGTTGATTTTTTGAATCTTGTCTCTAAGGTGTATCGGACGGGCCCTCCTTCCAAAAAACCTTTGTACATTAGATGGTTCGATAGGGTTAAAGCTAAATTCGGGAATCATTGGAGAAGCGTGGGAATTTTCGATTTTTTGCACCTGTCCCAATGTGACTTATCTCATTTGGACATGACTATGTTTTTGGCTGTCGTTCACTTGTGGAATAAGGAAATACATGCCCTGGAATTACCTTGCGGTCCCTTCTCGCCCACCCTTTTTGAAGTCGCGGCCATTACTGGATTAGAACCTATAGGGGAAAGATATTTTAAGGGTGCATGTCCCTCGGATAATTCTCTAAGATCCAAAATCGATTGGGAATCGAAAGCTTATGGGCATTTCCTCGAGAAGCATTTCGTCGATGACGAATCAATAGCTGTGACTGATGAAGAACACATAGCCTTTTTGGTGTACTGGTTGTGTACCCATGTTTTCTGTCTCTGTATTCGATTCGATTCAATATTTATTTCGACAGGCAAAACTGCATCGTGTCCATATACTAGCTTGTATGGGGTATTTTGTAAAGAATCTTTTGGTGAATTTCGGTAAGCCCATAAAATTTGCAATAACGTTTCATGCCACGTTCTGGGTCTATTACCAACATGTTTTTTAATTAACCCAATAATTACTTTATTAATTGCTTCGACCTGCCCATTCGCTTGAGCATAATATGGGGTCGATGTTAATAACTAAATATTTCTCGATTCAGCATATTTAATTATCTTTCTACCAGTAAAAATTGTCCCTCTATCCATAGTAATAGACTGTGGGATCCCAAATCGATAAACAATGTACTCTTCAATGAAATCGACTACATCCTGCTGATCAACATCTTTTAATGGTATTGCTTCTACCCACTTTGAGAAATAATCGACAGCGACAATTATATATCTATGTCCCTTCGATGATTGTGGAAAGATCTGTCCGATTAAATCTATAGCTCACCTTCGAGTGTAATTCGCTAGCAGGAACCTGTTGTATAGGACTGAATTTCTGACATTCTTCACAGGATTTAGCATACTCGATACAATCTTTTAGAATCGAAGGCCAATAATAACCTTGTCGAATTAATGTCCATTTCATTTTGTGACCTATCATGTGGGCGTCACATATTCCATTATGTACTTCAGTCATTGCTAAGTAAGCATCATCATTCCCTAAGCATCTAAGTAATACTCCATCGATTCCTCTTTTATATAACTCATCATTTAATAACACATATTTTACTGCTCGATACTTAATTTTCTTATCAGTTCTCCCATTGGGGTTTTGCAAGTAATCTGTAATCGATTTTCTCCAATCTTGGTCATCCAGGTTACTAATATGTAAAATTTCATTCTCTTGAGGTAATTTTTCTTTAATTTGAATCATTTCCTTTAAATTTTCCAAGGATATTTTATAATTGGATGCAATTTGCGCCAAATCATTAGCTTCTCGATTGAATTCTCGAGGAATGTATTCGAATGTTATATCATCGAACATTCTACTTAAAGTCATTACCTTTTCTAGATATCTGACTAAATTGGTGTTAATACACTTGTACTCTTTTCGCACTTGTTTAATTACTAACTGCGAATCACCTCTTACAATTACATGTTGAGCTTTTAGCTTAATCAAAGTCTCAAGACCTGTTATCAAAGCTTCATATTCGGCTTCGTTATTTGAACAAAATGGTTGAATCTCGAATGATAACTTAGTCGGGATATTACTTGGAGAAATAATAAGGACTCCTACTCCAGATTTCTCCGACGTGCTCGAGCCATCGAAATACATTATCCATTTACTTATTTCAATAAACAAGTTTTCAGTAGAATCAACTGTATGATCGGCCATGAAATCGGCAATTATCTGTCCTTTTATCGATTTTAAAGATTCAAAGGATAAAGAAAATTCTGTCAAAGCTAATACCCATTTTTCTATTCGATTATGCATAATAGGTTTCGACAACAGAAACTTCAAAATATTATTTCTGGAATAGACTATTACATCATGAGGCTTCATTACATACTTGAGTTTTGTACAAGAGAAATATAAGTATAATCCTAACTTTTCGATATCGCTGTATCGAGTCTCAGCATCGTTCAAAATTATACTTAGATAATACACATCACATTCCACACCATTCTCGTCTTCTTGTGCTAATAGACTGGCTATTGTTCGATCTGATGCTGATACATATAACTTCAATGGCTTGTTTCTCATCACTGGTATCAAAATTGGAGGATTTGTCAGCATTATTTTGATTTGCTCGAAGGCTTCTTGATGTTCCTCCTTCCATTTAAACTCTGCTTCTTTCTTCAATTTTAACAAAGATGAGAAAATATAAGTCTTGCCAGCTAAGTTAAAC